CAGGAACACGGTCACCCACCGCGATCTGGATCACGTCTCCGGGCACCAGATCCTCGGCCTTGACGCGTTGAGGTTTGCCGTCCCGAACCACCTTGGCCTCGTTGGCCGAGTATTCCTGGAGCGCCGCAATGGCCTTCTCGGCGCTGCTTTCCTGCGTGACACCCACCACCGCATTGAGGATCAGGATGGTCAGGATCTTGGGGTCGGAGTCAGTCATTGCCCGAATCGGTTATCTGTTTGTTTGCGACTTACCACAACGGGGTCCACGAAGGCGGTCCAATCGTCCCCTTCTTCAAAGAGAGCCAACACGAACGACACGACGGCCGATCCCAGGAGAATGAGGACCAGCTGGTCCTTGAATTGTTCCAGTATCAATTCCCACACCGGCGTCGGGGGTTCTTCCTCGAGGGCTAGCGAGTAGGTTGGTTAGTCCTTGCCATCTTGATTGAATGGGGCGGTGTCCTCACCATTAGGACCATGCTTCTTCCTGGAGCTCAGCACGGCGTCCTGAGACAATCCGGTGTGTTCCGCAACATTGAAGGTTTTCAGCGCTTCCGCGGGCGTATAAAGAAAAGCATTCTCCATGATTGCGGCAGCACCCAGAAGGGGGAAGACAGTCAATTGGGGATGTGCCGTGGAGGATGAGGAAGAGAATGAAAAGAGTGAAACGAAGGGACCTAAAAGAGAGGCATGGGGGTGGAGCCAAGGGCTTAGCAAGATGCGCCAGAAGCAGGAAGAAGCCCAGCGCAGATCGGGAAAGCAAGTGGAACGTGTTCTCATCCGCGGGTGACTCAGCAGACACAGGGCTGGACGCGCCCACCCGGTTGACAACTATAGCAGGATGGATTTTCATTGAACTCGCATAAGATAATTCTTGTGAGTTGCCAACTCCCTCGCCATGAGAGAGAGGGTCACCAAGAATTTAGGCTGCACCGTTCCCCGATGCATATTTGCCGGGGCCCTTGCGAACGACGAGATCCTGGTGGAGATCATAGGGCTGATGGGTCACTCGCAGAATATATGTATAGGTCTCGAGATGATCAGTGCAGGCAAACGAGAGCGTAGTGGAAGAAGGTATACAAAAGGTAGACAAAACTACGCATTACGGAGATATATATTTCTACCGACTAGGTGGTCCGAAATCTCGAGATGGCCCTTCCGATCGACTGCTAAAAATAAATACCATACCATAAGAATGACCGAAGCTCAAAGAGGTGATTTGCTTAATCTATTATGATTCTGGGCACCTCTCGCGATGGGCTGGGACGACATCATCGTTGATTGCTGGAAGGTTCGATCGCTTGCATCATCATCACGCTCAGACAATGCATTGTTCCTTTGGGACATGTTCAGGGCCAGTCTCAGGTACCGAACCGTCCATAGGAGGTACTCAGATATCGACCTAGGTCCTCCTCAACCATAATATAGTTGAACGGCCTGGTGTCTTGACGACAGGACCTCCTTGGCGTCGAGCGATGATTGCATCAGGGGCCCACCGTGTATTTTCAGCTGATCGACCCGAGGAAGGGCGGGTGGATGTGATGGGGACACAAGAACACGACGATCAGAGCCAACAGGTACAGTAGGCCACTAGCAGAGAGTCCGTCTGCCTGAGTTGTGAATGATGAGGATTTTCACCAAGTCCATCGGTCGAAATGTGTGATCCTGTCGCGTATTGTCACCGCCCAGCCAGATTGATTACCGACAGGCGGGGTTCTAGCGTAATGCCCATTACGGGTGTCTGCCCAAGTACCCCGGTACCTGGTGGCAGTAGAGTATCACCCGCATACCCACAAGTACCCGGTACTTCCCAGGCGGCGTATTGTTATGATTCTTCCCAACGCCCTCACAACCCTCTCTCTCTCCCTCCCTCCTTCCCACCCCCACTTGGTCTTCTTCTGCACCATCCATCTCCTGCCTCTTTCTCTCTCTTTCCCCAACTCCAGATACCATCCCACTCCCAACTACTCCCTTATTAAAATCTCCTTGATCCGCTTTCATCATGGGTTCTGAGGTACGTCCACAGTTGTGCCCCTCCACACGCTCTCTCTGAGCTGTCACCGCCATCGCATTCCACCCCCCTCTCTTCTTCCCTCCCCGGCTTCCGTCGAGACCACCCCCCATCAAACCCCGAGTGCTTGCTGACAGACTTCTTAACCATGCAGCGTGAGAAGTAAGCACACGGTCGCCTGGATTATCTCCTAATCATCAACACTGACCCCCCACTGCAGCAAGACGTTCCTCGCGCGGCTCTGCGAACAGGCCGAGCGCTATGATGGTAAGACTTTCGAGAATGTCGCTGCATGAGGCGCAAGTGCTGACCGCAGTGTTTTCTGGTATCCAGAGATGGTCACGTACATGAAGGTCAGTGGTGTCGTTTTGTTTACTAGTGTTGCCTGCGGTCTGGACATCCATGCTAACTACCGGACAGGAAGTCGCCAACGTATGTCATCATCCTTGCCGACCAGGACGGATCTGAGATTGACACTGTTGTTGTAGATCGGAGGCGAGCTTACTGTCGATGAGCGTAACCTGCTCTCTGTCGCGTACAAGAACGTGGTTGGCACCCGCCGTGCCTCGTGGCGTATCATCTCCTCCATCGAGCAGAAGGAGGAGTCCAAGGGCTCTGATGACCACATTGGCACTGTCCGTGACTACCGCCAGAAGATCGAGACCGAGCTGGAGAAGGTGTGCCAGGATGTCCTGGATGTCCTCGACGAGGCCCTCATCCCCAAGGCCGAGACTGGCGAGTCCAAGGTCTTCTACTACAAGATGTTGGTTGCCCGCTGCGTTTGTGTTAGTTGACATTCTAACTTCGATTGCAGGAAGGGTGACTATCACCGCTACCTGGCCGAGTTCGCTTCGGGCAACAAGCGCAAGGTTGCTGCCACTGCCGCCCACGAGGCCTACAAGGTACGGATGCTGCGGCCATTCTCGGTGACACACTTACTGACTCCCCCCATAGAACGCTACCGACGTTGCCCAGACTGATCTCACCCCCACGCACCCCATCCGCCTTGGTCTCGCGCTGAACTTCTCCGTCTTCTACTACGAGATCCTGAATTCTCCCGATCGCGCATGCCACCTGGCTAAGCAGGCCTTTGATGACGCTATTGCGGAGCTGGATTCGCTGTCCGAGGAGAGCTACCGTGACAGCACCCTGATCATGCAGCTGCTGCGGGACAACCTGACTCTGTGGACCTCGTCGGACGGCAATGAGGCCGAGGGCGCTGGCTCCGCCGAGCCCAAGGCCGAGGAGCAGGAGGCTGCCCCTGCTGCCGAGGACAAGCCCGAGGAGCCCAAGGCCGAGGAGTCTTAAGCGGATGACGAGAGCCGGATGCCAGATTGGTAGGGGAAGGCGTTCGCATTTCTTCCTGGATGTGGTTCTGCTAGTCGCTTTTTTTGATTTCACCCGGTGGCTGAGTTGGCCCGGTACAAGATGGTCTTCTTTCCGAGAGACTTGTGTGGGTCGGCCGGCGGAGTTTGATATTCGGTTGACGCGAGCGAAGAAAAGGGGCTGAGTGGAATTCCTCTCTCTTTGAATTGTCTCTATTCCCACTCCAGCACGTTTCAATGTGATTACTTAACAATTCCCCCAACTGGTGGTCCTCGTAGAGCTCTTTGTAGTTGATGGCCGGATGTCTACATCAATGGAGACACCGCACCCATAAAGCTATAATCTATGAGCCTCCCAACCTGAGCCGGAAGCCACCCACATCATCATCTTCTGGACGTCCTGCATGGCTTAGCTGGCACCTGCACTCCTCAACACGCACTGGGAATCAGCACGGGCCCATGGTCTACAATCTTCCAATAAGTTGGTACATAGAGCCCTCCTCCAACTGGAAGTGCCTCGCGCACAAACATCGGAGGACCACGGAGAGAGCGTCTGCGGGACCTGGACCGAATGGCAAGTACCATAGAAAGCTCCGTATTGCCGCGCGTCAAACCACCCACGGCGAGAGACGGAAAACGGACGGACGAGCTATCACCCACAGCTTATTGGAATGCGCGTTGAAACCTGACCCGGCCGAACGAGCAATAAAGCATGGGGGATCCATGCCCACTTGCTCGAGAGAGCCTCAATCGCCGCAGTCGGCTGCTGCTGAGGGGGTTTATGTATGTAGGCTTCCATGGCTCGCGCAAAGTCGGGATTGAACCCTCCCACCCGTGTTATCTTGATGGAGGGTTGACACGGGCCTTGCGTGGACGGAGCCATCACCGCCATGCACTACGCCATGGATATCCGCCCTACAATCCGAGCACTCCGAGCCAATATTTTTGGTCTTGGAGGGACTTGGTCCACATGGCTGGCTAATATGACAGGTCGAGGACTATCTATGGTGTCCCCGTATGATTATTACATGGCGAAGACAATAGAAATCGGCAAAGCCCTAACTGCATAACCAAGTCATTGTATTGCAATCACCGAATATGTCAGGCTCGCACATCCTTGTCGAGTGCAAGGCTGTAAGGTACCCGACCAGCAGCCCACCCACAGGTGCGTGCCATGTTCTCCCAAGAATTGGGCAGAGATGATGGATAATGGCACAGCTGGGAGGCGAAGAGGAGGGGGGCCAGGGATCTCAATCCGGACCACACACACTGGTCTTCTATTCCAATACCGTGCTGCCGGGTTTGTCGTGGGTTCTTTGCAGAGCCAGACAGAAAAAATCCTGCGTCTACATCACAGATAGCAAATAATAGGAATAACCTATATCTCTCTCCCCTTCTGGCGACGAGCAACAGACATACAGTGCAGGCACGGTGCATATAATGAGGAACGATGCCCGTCTTTTCTTGCTTTCAGTTTATCTTGCGCATCACTAATTCTAATTCTTCATATACGTTCTCCTTCCCTTCTGTCGTTACGTCCTTGAATTTCCGAGTTAGATAGGCAAGCAACATCATCATCACCATCATCAATATTAGCCCACAATCTTTAAACGAAACCGCAACAATATAACGGAGAACATGGCCACACCACTCTCACCGCTAACATGCGAACCCAACGGTCTATATCTCCTCCTCCTGGACCGCGGCGACACCTACCTGTTTCATTGGCAACTCTACCTCTCGACGAGCCGTCACGAGGGCAAAACCTTCCACATAAACAACGAAGCAGGCCCAACAGCTTGGGAATTCGAGTCCTGCCAAACAAGGGAGCTACCCAGCTGCCGCAATCTACTGCTAGCGCTGCAGGTAGGCGTATTAGAGCCGATGCTACACGCCGCGATGGGGGAGAGACTGAAACAGGTACCGCTGACGCTGTACTCGATGCGGTATCGGGAATATCTCACGTGTCGGATTTGGATGAAGGAGGCACTGTTCACACGCTGGATGATGAGGGCTATATCACGCTGAAGAAGAGTGTCAAGGATATTGAGGAGGAGGCCAAGTATCTTGCTATGCTGAACAAGAGTAAAAACGAGAGGACGGTTACCAAGTCTAAGGGGTGTATGTAATGTTTAATTAATCATAATGTTGGTAACAAGATGATAATTGGAGAATGAATTGGTTCTTCTATATGTTATGTTATGAAGGGGCTGTGGGGAGGGGACAAAGGAAGAAAAGAAGAAAAGCGATGTACATGAGGGAACCGAGAAGACCAGCAACAAGAAAGAAAATGCGTGTATTTGCAACGAAGCAAAGAAATCAAATCACATAAAGTCGTCATCGCCCAGGCCGTCATCGCCATCGTAGGCGTTGTTGTCGATGTGGTTCTCCCGGGTCGTGACGACGGAAACCTTCGTTTTGGCCGCCTTGCTCTTCTTATTCCCCTTATCCGCCGCGCGCTCCTCGCGCATCTTCTCATTGCTCGCCGTGGTGAGTGCACTAGCAATCTTCTTGATATCACCCGACGGCATCTCCTTCACCAGTTGGCGGACAAAATCCTGCGCCCACAGGCTGTAGTGCGGCTTCTTGGAGTGCGGCGTCAGTAGCGGCACAAGCGTCTCGCTCAGCTTCGCGAACTGGGCCTTGGTAGTCGGCCTGAACAGCGGCATGGCACTCAGGTCAATCGCATTAGTCGGATCCGCCGAGTCCGTCACGACAACAGCCTTGGGCCCGCCGCGTTTGCGGTTCAGATCGATGTCCCCGATCAGATCCTGCGCGTGCTTGAGATCGGCCTCCTGCTCCGTTCGGCGCAGGCGCTCGCGCCGCTCGGCCTCGTCTTCGCTGACATCCAGTTCGTCTTCGTCGGCCTGTTTTCGCCGCTCCTCCCGGTGCTCTTCTATCCGCTGCGCCTTGGTCTTCTTGTTGGCTGCGGCCTTGGCTTTCGCGGCGGCTTCGGCCTCGGCGGCTTTCTTGGCTTTCTCGCGCTCAACTTCCGAGTCTTCAGCTGCGTCCCAGGAATCGAGGACCTGTTTTTGGCGAGGGTCACGATTAGCGTTGACTCAGAGAGAGGGAGGGAGGGTCTGGTTCTTACATCGTCATCCTCCTCGTCGTCGAATCTGCGGCGCGCTGCGACGGGGACAGGGGCGCTATCACTCTCCGAGGAGGAGGAACTCTCTTCCTCGTCTGGGTCATGTCCAGTCAGTTGCGATGTCGACAGAGAGGTGGGACATAGAGTACATACCCCACTTTGAAGGCGGCATTTTGACGGAAAGGAAAAAGAAGAAAAGATCAAGGAAAAACACACGGAGTGCAAGATCCGGGGGGAAAGAGAGAAGGCCTCGCCAACAACAATAGTAGGTAACCGTCCGACAAAGAAAAGGTCGGAGGGGCAAATTTTATGTGGGACAGGTGGGCTGTCACGTGCTTGGTGCCCGATCTATACTCCTGTTCAATTCAACCATATTGGGAGAAATGTTTCATTCTGCTATTACATTCATAATCATCATCGCCATATTGAACCCCAATGGCATCTCTTTTGGAAAAGACAAAAGAAAGAACTATCTGCAAGGACCGCTTTACATGTTGACTGCAGTGCGGAACTTCTGGCCGGCGTACACGGCGTTGGGGCCGAGCTCCTCCTCAATCCGGAGGATCTGGTTCAGCTTGGCCAGACGCTCCGAGCGGGCGGGAGCACCGGTCTTGATCTGGCCCGAGCGCAGACCGACAGCAATGTCGGCAATGGTGACATCCTCGGTCTCACCGGAGCGGTGGGAGACCATGACACCCCAGCCGTCGGCGTAGGAGTCCTTGGCGGCCTGGATGGACTCGGTCATGGTACCGATCTGGTTCACCTTGAGCAGAAGGGCGTTGCAGGACTTGAGCTCAATGGCCTTCTTGATGCGCAGCGGGTTGGTGACCGTCAGGTCGTCACCGACGATCTGGAAGTCCGAGGTCTTGTAGAAGTAGCTCCAGGCCTCCCAGTCGTCCTCGGCGAAGGGGTCCTCAATGCTGACAATGGGGTACTTGGCGGCCAGCGACTTGTACAGGTCGGCCAGCTGCTCGTAGGTGAGCCACTTGGAGGGGTCGCTGTTCGGGTTCTTGAAGTCCAGGTCGTACTTCTTGGCGTCGGTCTTGTAGAACTCGCTCGAGGCAACGTCCATGGCGATGTGCATCTTGCCGGTGTAGCCGGCCTGCTCAATGGCATCGGTGATCAGGTCCAGGGCCTCCTCGGCGGTCTGGATATCGGGAGCAACACCACCCTCGTCGCCGACGTTGCCAGCAGACTGGCCGTACTTCTTCTTGGCGAGGGCCTTGAGCTTCTGGTAGACCTCGGAGCCCTGACGGAGAGCCTCGGAGAAGGAGGGAGCGGTGCTACACATTTCTGTTAGTTACTGGGAAGTGCGAATTTCTGTGCGGAAACTTACTCAGGCACAATCATGAACTCCTGGAAAGCCAGACGGCCACCGGCGTGGGAGCCACCGTTCAGGACGTTCTGGAAGGGGACGGGGAGGACGTAGGGCTTCTTGGTTCCGGCCAGGTCGGAGATATGGGCATACAGGGGAACGCCCTTCTCAGCAGCGGCAGCCTTGGCAATGGCCAAGCTGACACCGAGGATGGCATTGGCACCCAGGTTGCCCTTGTTGGCGGAGCCGTCCAGGTTGTTGAGGAAAGCGTCAACCTTGGCCTGGTCCTTGACGTCAATGTTCTCCTTGATGAGGGCAGGGCCAATGGTCTCGTTGACGTTCTTCACAGCCTGGAGAACACCTAGAGAATGGTTAGCCCGTGCCAGAGTTCCTCGGATCAAGATGTCACTTACCCTTTCCACCCCAGTGGGTCTTGTCACCATCACGGAGCTCGACGGCCTCGTGCTGGCCTGTGGTTTTTTGTTAGCATTCCATTCACTTCTCATCTCCGAGGACAAAGCTGAGGACAGAGAGGCACATACCAGTAGAGGCACCGGAGGGGACAATGGCGCGGTGCAGACCGGTCTCGGTGACCACATCCACCTCGACGGTGGGGTTGCCGCGCGAGTCGTACACGGAACGAGCGTGGATCTTGGAGATAGGCATGTTGGGGAGAGGTGGTGGTAAGCTGGAGGGGAGGGTAAGACAGATGGTCAGCTGGAGAGGAAAGAAAAAAAGTGGTGGGATGGACAGGCTATAAGGACGCCATGACTAAGGGATGGGAGGGAGGTTCACCGAGAGGTTCACCGAGGACCCAAAAGAACAACAACAACAGGCAAAAGGCGCAGAGGATCGCTAGCAAGACGAATGACAGGAGGCAATGGGGCGAATCACGGACTCAATTGGAATCGGGGAATGACGAATGGGCAACACAGGGAAAACCAGGTGAACCCACGGGGAATGAATGGTGGAGGGGTAGTGGAGGGGTAGTACACCTAGGAGAGGTGGGTGGACTTACTGATTGCTTGAAGGTCTTCACAGAGAGAGAAGATAGTGGAGGAGAGACACTCTTAAATACTCTGCCGTCACTCCATGCTCCGGTTCTTTCCAATGCGACGGTGGGGCCTTGATCCGACCGTCTGCGGCCTGCAGCAGCGAGATCTCCCGTCCCTCGGGTGATGATGCAGTTAGGGAGTGAGTGCGGGCCGGGTGTTACTTAGGTTGTGAGGAGGGAAACAAGGTAGATTGAGTTAGATATTTAGCTAATTCAAGCCCGATTCTGGTATAGAGCGAGATTGTATCGAGCTAGCTGCCCAATTTCTCTATTCAAGGTTGCATCGTCCATCATGACGAAAATGGTTGCATAGTTCTGCCTGAGGCTTCGATTGATGCCCTTCTGCCTGGTGACTAATCAACAACAGTCCGATCACCTGACCCAGGCAGCTCACCCGGCGTGGAAGCTCCCAGCTGTTGTGGTCCCCCTTCGACATCACCTATCATCCTCTCGGAACCCATCCTCCCTTTATCTCGTGCATTGATCCACTAATCAATCACTACCGTCGACTTGATCCACCGTCGGGCCCCTCCCTCCTCTCCCTCGTGACATCCTCCGCTGTTATCCACCATGAGCGGCGCCAGCGATCCCGAGCGAGAGCAGGCGCTCGAGGACTACAAGAAGAGCTTGCTGGAGCTACGAGAATGGGAAGCCAAGCTGAGGTCGCTACGGCTGGGCATCAAGGATCTGCAACACGAGTTTGATGTCTCCGAAGAGAACATCAAGGCCCTACAGAGTGTCGGTCAGATCATCGGCGAGGTGTTGAAACAGTTGGACGAAGAGCGATGTATGTTTTCTCAATATCCTCATGAAAAACCAGCTGACCCTTCTAGTCATCGTCAAGGCATCCTCCGGACCGCGGTATGTCGTCGGGTGCCGCTCCAAGGTCGACAAGGCCAAGATGAAGCAAGGCACCCGTGTCGCCTTGGACATGACGACCCTCACCATCATGCGAATGCTGCCCCGCGAAGTCGACCCCTTGGTGTACAACATGTCGCTGGAGGATCCGGGCCAAGTGAACTTTGGTGGAATCGGTGGCCTGAACGACCAGATCAGAGAACTCCGGGAGGTGATTGAACTGCCGCTGAAGAACCCGGAGCTGTTCCTTCGGGTGGGAATCAAACCTCCCAAGGGTGTTCTACTCTACGGACCACCTGGGACAGGAAAGACGCTCCTGGCCCGAGCCGTGGCTAGCTCCCTGGACACCAACTTCCTGAAAGTGGTCTCCTCTGCGATCGTGGACAAATACATTGGTGAATCCGCTCGCCTGATTCGAGAAATGTTCGGCTATGCCAAGGAACATGAACCCTGCATCATCTTCATGGACGAGATTGACGCTATTGGTGGCCGACGGTTTTCGGAGGGCACATCGGCCGATCGAGAGATCCAGCGGACATTGATGGAGCTGCTGAACCAACTGGACGGATTCGACTACCTGGGCAAGACCAAGATTATCATGGCAACCAACCGACCCGATACACTTGACCCAGCCCTGCTGCGTGCCGGTCGTCTGGATCGGAAGATCGAGATTCCTCTTCCTAATGAGGTTGGTCGCCTGGAGATTCTGAAGATCCACACAAGCGGCGTGCAAATGGAAGGGGAGATCGACTTTGAGAGCGTGGTGAAGATGACCGATGGACTGAACGGTGCTGATTTGCGCAATGTGGTCACCGAAGCGTATGTTATCGAATCTACTCCGGAAAGCCACCATTACTGACACAGACGCAGAGGACTGTTCGCGATCAAGGACTATCGCGATGAGATCACGGCCGACGATATGAATAAAGCCGCTCGCAAAGTAAATGAGGCCAAGAAATTGGAAGGCAAGTTAGATTACAGTAAGCTATAGCCGCTTACGCTTAGCGATGCAATCCAATGTGTTCAGAGGGTGTAATTTTATGTCTTGAGAGGTATAAGCATGTATTGTTGCATCTACCAGACTGAAATGTAGTCCTAAAGCCTCAAAGTAGATTGAGATGGATTGTATATGGATTGTATAAAGTATCCATTTCATCCACACAAATTAATTAAAGTATAGACGTTGAACAATTATTCTAAGCGGTGGTAGTATGGATATGCTATTTGATCAGGTGTGGACGTCTTGGAGGCTTCCAGTCCCCAGCGCTTTCCTTACATCTCTCTCCCCAACACACTCTCTCCCCCAACTCTCTCTCTCCCCTCTCCGTTATCTTCACTCTCTTTCCTTTCGTTGTCTGCCCTCCTGGCCTTCTTCTGTATCTCCTCCTGGCTTTTGGGAAGTACTCTCACTTGACTAACCTCGTCCACTGTCATCCACACCACCCTCACCTTCATCGTCGCCTTGCTCCCTCCTGCTGCCAGCCGTCCCTTTGAAGAAGCTCAGGCACAAAAACGAGATTGGCAGCAAGTACGCCAAGAGCAACCTCGCCCAGAAGACAGAGCGGGTTGAACCCCATGAGCCAATAGGTGTCTATTCCAGATCACCAGTTCGGCAACCGAGGGGCGTGATCTCGGTATCCTGTGTTCTTCACATCCCACGACCAGTCTTCATTCTAGAAATGTCGACGTATGAGCCTGGTTCAGGCTCTTCGTCTCCTTCGGCGCACGCCCGGAGACGTACGACAAGCATCACAAGTGCCGTAACCCCTCCTCTCAATCACACCTACAACTCTTCCACGATTTTATCTTGTCTTCCAAAGGATTACCAGTCCTGCTTCTTCGAAGGCATTCAAAAGCTGAGGCGAACTTCTCAGAGGGTCCTTAACGAAGTTAACGAGACTGGAAATCAATACCTCGTTGTTTACCACCTGCCACAAGATATCATGGAACAGATCGACAGCCGAGAAATCAGCCTAGGAGTGTCATTTCGCTTTATGTTCTGCACTAGGGACAGGCTCGGGATCATGAAGATCATACCAAGTGGGGAGCATGACCAAAGCACGGAGAAGCTCAAGGACACGATGATGATTGATCTCTTAGCAATGGGCGTCAACTTCCATGCAATGACATGGAGCGTGTCTACAACTTACCAAGGCGGATACTGCGGCAAACAGCCAGACCAGCAGCTCATTCCTACATCTCAGATACCTCCTCGTCCACTTCGGGTCTCTCCAGTCTCGCCAACCTTGGTCATCGAGACCGGCGTTTCTGAATCACTTGCAAAACTACGTTGGGACGCAGGCTGGTGGCTCACTAACACCAACGGTGGTGTCAAAATCGCCCTCGTGGTATCTATCAATCGCAATCTCAGAAAAGTGCAGTTGGAGAAATGGGAAATGGTGGGACAAACGACTAGAACACGCCAGTCTATTGCGCCTCAGGCGGTCCAAACGATCTACATCACCCAGAACAACGCCCACGGAGCGCCTCTTGTGCTCGGATTTGCAGATTTGATGTCGAGACAGCCTACCGCTCAGGAGCGTGACGTTGTCATCCCGGCGGTCGACCTAATCCGGTGCTTTGATACTGTATGGTGAGAAGTGCGAGAGATCTCTACAGCTCGCTCGGCAACATTCAGATAGGAGGGAGAGGCTAGCGCTCTGGTAATTTGCTAGAAAATTGCTCCAACAGCTTGATGTAATATCATGACATTATCCACCTACAAACCCGTAGTTAATTAGGCTCTTACATGGCGTCAACTGCAGCCATTTTTGCTCCCGATTTACCGTTACTTTGCTCGGTGGTGTAATTGTACGCCTTGAGAAGTATAAGCAGAAGTTGTGGCATCTACCAGAATGAAATGGAGACGTAAAACAAAAAAGTAGATAATTGTACGAAGTATCCATTCCATCTACAACAAATGAAACGTAGAAGTCGTATCAGTTGGAAATAGATGGAGTGGTAGTTCCTTATTGCGGTGGTTGGGTAGATAGTGATTGATCGCCCTCATCGTCTCCGCCTCCGCCTCCTGTTCGGCTCCGGCCACGTCGCCGATACTTACTTTCCTCATCAGACCACGATTTTGCCCCATCACCCCCTTGGAACTCATGCTACACCATCTCCTGCATGGCTTCGACAGCCGGTGACTTACGATAGATCAAAGAGGGCGCGCCAGCATTTCCCTTCCTATGTATGCCCGCCCAATGGCCTCAGTCCCCCGGAAATACTCTACCAAACAAGACTGACGACCATGCTTTCAAACCAGTAATCGCCCGCACTCCTTCGCCATTGCGCATCATTCGCAAATAAGGAAATTTGCAATCCAACCGAGGCCACAATCTTTGCCCCGTCCTGTGCGAGGGCGGCACCTGGATAGCCATGTCATTCCAGGCACGGCAAAGCGTTCGACCTCTCGACCCCCCTCCTCAATACCGTACGACAACCAACACCCTCGGTGGCTATGGGCTGTCCGCACCCCGGATGCCCCAAACCGTGACTAGCTATTTCGGGAACGACCGCACCCTCCCCATGTATAAAGATAAACCGTATTTCGCGCCGCGGCGCACGGTCCCGAGGCGGCGGTGGAGACTCCTGCTCAACGTGCTGGGCGTGTGTACATTGATCTACCTATGGTATTATAAAGGGTCTCTGCTTTCGTGGAATAGTACGGCACCTTATGAGGCCCAGGACAAAGGGCTAGAGCTTTGGAAGTGGGTTCAGAGTTTGGACGATACTGGCGCATCCAAGGGGTCTGTGGATTGGGATGAAAGACGAGAGAAAGTACGGGATGCGTTCGTGGTCAGCTGGGAGGACTACGAGAAGAATGGCTGGGGTAAGTAAGCTCCTGATTTTTGGCGGATCAGCGCTGATGAGCGGTTGCTACAGGCTACGATGAGTATGGTCCGATATCCAACAAGCGTCGAAATATGGTCGAAGGCGGAATGGGCTGGATCATCGTCGACGCGCTGGATACGATGATCCTCATGAACCTCACGAAGCCGGTTCAGCATGCGCGGGAATGGATCCACACCTCGCTACAATACAACCAAGACCACGACGTGAACACATTCGAGACGACCATCCGCATGGTGGGCGGACTGCTGTCCGCACACTACCTGTCAACCAAACATCCGGAACTGGCGCAAATCACCGATGACGACGTTGGGGCTCCGGGCGAAGATCTGTATATCGAGAAAGCCGCCGACCTGGCCGATCGCATACTGAGCGCGTTTGATACCAACTCTGGGATTCCGCTTGCAAGTGTGAATCTTAACAAATCAGAAGGGATTCCAGCGCACAACGGTGGTGGCGCCTCATCGACTGCCGAGGCGACGACGGTGCAGCTCGAGTTTAAATACTTGGCCAAATTGACCGGAGAGTCGGAATATTGGACCGTTGTGGAGAAGGTGATGGAGGTCATGGATAGGCTGCAGCCGCAGGACGGTCTCGTTCCGATCTTCATCAGTCCCGAATCCGGACAATTCAGGGGAAATGAAATTCGCCTGGGCAGTCGAGGAGACTCCTATTACGGTACGTCTCGCAAACACTTATTCCAGAACACTTCCCAGCTGACATTGCTTAGAATATCTCGTCAAGCAGTATTTACAAACCTCTGAGCAAGAACCAGTGTACAAGGAGATGTGGGATGAGTCTCTACGAGGTATCCGGAAACATCTGCTTACATTTACCCAAAAAGCCCGGCTGATGATGGTCGCCGAGCTGCCCTCGGGTATTGGAGGTAACCTTCATCCCAAGATGGACCACTTGGTCTGTTTCTTACCGGGAACCATCGCGCTCGGTGCCACGGGTGGCCAACCACTATCAGAAGCAAGAAAGTCATCGAGCTGGACTCAGCAGAAAGAGGAAGAGATTTTCATCTCCCGAGAGCTAATGAAGACGTGCTGGGCGACATATCTAGCCACGGCAACAGGGCTGGCGGGCGAGATCACGTATTTCCAGCTGGACAATGAGCCCGTGATGATGGCGGACAAATACCCCGACCCTCTTGCGCCGAGCAATGCTGGATCCACGCCCAAGGAACTGAAGAGTATCTCCGGTCCGTTGACGCGCTCGGACAGCGATCCCTGGCGCAGCGACTTGAGCATCCACACCGCAGACCGCCACAATCTCCAGCGACCTGAAACGGTCGAGTCCCTCTTCTATATGTACCGCATCACCGGCGACGATATCTACCGCGAATGGGGATGGGAGATGTTCGTCGCGTTCTTGCGCCACACCGCCGTGCTGGAGGAGGTGTATGACGAGAAGGGCCTGTCCCAGAAACGCATTAAGGGATTCACGTCCTTGTCCAACGCTGACACGATCCCTCCCCTCACGCGCGACAACATGGAGAGCTTCTGGATGGCTGAAACCCTCAAGTATTTCTACCTGTTGTTTTCCGACCGCGACTTTATTTCCCTTGAGGAACATGTCTTCAACACCGAGGCCCATCCGTTCCCGCGCTTCAAGCCTTCGGGCGATCTCAAGACGGGCTGGGCACGCAAGCCTCGCTCCGCTCCTGATTCTGGGTCTGAGCCCGGGTCTCTGTAGATTACACGCCAGTATATTTTGCATTTGGGTGTTTCGCTTTTGCTTTTTATTTTTGTCTTGATACTCTATGAAAGAATTGGACACAGATACATTATCAATTATATTGCACTTGGCTTCTGAAGCGGAATTCTGTTCACTTTTGTATGCAATGCAATGCAAGAGTAACTTATACACATCCAGTATCCTATTAGCCAGATTCCTCGCTCTTGGCATCCGATCTACTTATGGCAGCCGCAATCAACTTCTTATACCCCTCAACAGCCTCTGTAATATGATGCACAGAGAGAGCCTCATTATCACCATGGGCAACAAAGATACTGCCAGGTCCATAGAGATACCGCTTCGTACCCTTCGCCACGCTCAGATTCGGCACATCAGTGCCATAGTTCACAGCGGTAACATCGAAGCCCTCGACATCCGTATCCAGATCCTGCGGCGGATACAATCCATGCGAGGAGAAATCCACAGTGACATTGGCTCCAGTGTGCCGCGTAGCATCTGCGACAGCATTGGCGATGATCTTGCGTGCTTCGCCGGGAGTTCCCGCTGCAAGACGCACCGCGACATCTGCTATTGCGTGAGCCGGGACGACGTTCGTAGCCACGCCCGCGCGAACGACACCGATGTTCAGCGTCGTGGGACCGTACTTCGGAGAAGAAGGAAGACCACCATGCTCAACGCCGATCTTCCCCAGCTCATCGACCTTCATCAGCGCGGGGAGAATAGCAGAGACGGCACTGTGGCCGAGCCACGGGTACCCGGAGTGCGCGGCCTGACCCTCGACAATGACCTTGAAGCCCATCATACCCTTGTGTCCGGAGACAAGGGCGAGATTAGTAGGCTCGCCGAAGATGACGGTGCGGAAGCCGTCCTTGGTTTGGTTGTTGAGTTGGGAATCGGAGAAGGTTTTCATGCCACCGCCGCCGAGTTCTTCGCCCACGACAAACAGCAGACCGAGGCCAGCGGACGGATGTTGGGCGAGTGTTTCCAGTGCGGCGAAGACTTGGGCTGCGACGCTGGCTTTTGCGTCGACAGAGCCGCGGCCTCCCACGATTAGTTTCTCTGGGTCGATGGCAGAGGATGATGAGGTTTGGGGCTGGTGCACTGAGTAGGGGATGAATGGTGGGACGGTGTCGATATGGCTTGTTAGGAGGATGGAGGGGGGCGAGGTTTGGGCGGCAGGGTAGGCGTAGATATTGTATCGGGTTTTGGGGACAGCATCATCATCCTCATTCTTTTCCACAGGAGCAACCACTTGTTTAATGACGGTGAAGTTGTGCGCCTCAAGGAACTGAGTCACGAAGATGCCGACATCGTGCTCGTTGCCGGAGATGGATTCGATCTGGACGAGATCACGGTGAAAGGATAGAAGAGGCGAGGCGTTGATAATATCCTCCGGACTGGTTGGATCATGGTTGACAACGATCTCGGGCTGCGACAGTGAGGGAGTTGTCCCGAGGTGCTGTTGTTGTTGATATGCGGGGTGCGGAGAAGCCGATGCCACGGCAATGGTGGTGGTAGCTGCCACTAGATACGGGGTGTACTTCATGGCTGCAGATTGAAGCCAGGGAGACGTGAGTAATACCGCTTATTGTTGAACAGCCGAGAGGAGGACCCGGAGGGGGAGAGATAGAGAGAAAAGTGGAGGAATAAGTAGTTCGTCGGACTGTTCCGCTGGGGGGTTGATACGGGTCACGTGCATATGCTCTGTGTCACATTGGGAAATGCAAGGGCGGGCTGAGAGGGAATAGTTTGGTCTTGGCTCTGATGGAGTAGTGGATGAGTGTCATTTAATATTAGAATTGTTGGAGATACGACATTGTCTATAGTGAGCTTGGTGGTGGACATGCCCGTCGTTGAGAGTGCGGAATATTGATCTCCGTTCTGGATGATTTTCGAGAGGGAAATGGTAGGGCAGGGGATTTATTGCTTCGTGTGACATCTTTTCTTTCTCCTCAAAGTGCTTTATTTTGGGCCTCACAATATGCAACACTGCCTGTATTTTAAATCATTAACATGGACAAACCGAAGACAGGAGCTGTTCGGCAAGTCGAGGTAGCTGGTCAACAAATCCGAAGACACTCACAAAGCAAGTTTTCCTCAAAGCAATGGTGCAATATGGCTGATCGGTGATATAGAACTGGTCATGGCTCCGCAAGCACATTGTATTAATCCAATGTTCCTCCTACGCGGTTGCCCCGAATTCGGAACTGAGATGGAACTAAATCGGTGTTCTTGGACCTACTTAATCTTTTGAAGGCATCCTGTCCTATTATTGGCAGGGCGCATCGCCGGTTTCCGGCCTTGGCCAAGTACTTTTGGAACAACAACATCATCATCCACATATATTCCTTATTCTGGACGACAAAATACTTGCACCTTCTTTATTGCAATAAGGTCCTCGATTACATGCCGTGCTCCGGTTTGAACCAGCTCCTTTATCGACCACGGCCCGGATTCTGGCAGCGTTCCTGGCGCAGCATTGCGTCTTCCTCGCGCGAGACCTCTAACATGACGGCAAGCCATCGCAGACAAACCACTCACAAGCCCTGTTTCTATCGTCTGCATCCTGGACACTCATAACAGTCACCTCAAGCTTTCGGACGTAGATATTCCCATCCGCGCTGGTAATCTTGCACAATCAGGCTCGTTGAAGGAACCCCGGGCTACACTCGCCAGGTTACGCACCCGGCATCAACGGGTCAAGATCGTTGGCGCTGGTAACCACGATGAGTGAGTTTGCGAAGATTTCTTTTTTTCGCCGTCCGTGGAGGCCCCATCTACGGTTGGTGGTTTGCGGACGATTAACAGAGGCAACCCATCAAAGTTACCGTTTTTGACGTATTGCAATGGAATTGATTTACCGAATATTTCATAGCTTACGATGTCACGTCGGCCCGGCATAAATGTGTATCTTTCGTCATTCTCCACCTTATACAAAATAAGCACCACACAACTTTCGGCAGCACAAATCCCGCCAGTGGAACCAGACAGGACAGCTCGGAGTTAAAGTGACAAACCCTATCAAAGTGTCGAACTACACGCGATTGCATGGTTCCGTGTGAACATACGGCTTTAGCCAAGTACATAGCAGCGGGGGACCATCTTCGCAACTATCAAATCCCGGCAGTCGGAGGGTATCCCGAGTCCCGTGTCACCGTTCATGCAGTGTTGATCAACAGAACTTTCTTTAATCCTAGTCGTTCAGACTAGTAATACATACAATTATGGTGACTGGACTGCGCATAAGGCCCCCCGGATAATACAGAACACGGAGGGCACCTAAGTGGGGGGAGGAGGAGGGTCGACGACTCGAGCAAGGATCTGCAATTAATCATTCGTCGTGCACAGTTATCCAGCCTGGCAGTGGTACAAAAGGGGATCATGACGAACCACTCGGCGCACGTTAAAAAAGGTTCCCGATGCCATGTTGTTCACTTATAAAGCCACCCCAATACCCCTCCCCTCCTAAGGCTCCCGGTTGACATGATTTTTCCATCATTACCCTGTGTGCCTTATCTTAATTCACTCAGCCATCCATCTTCACCTTCCACCCGTCATGGCAACAGTCATGGAACAAGCGGGAAAACGTATTTTGGCCAAGGTTGTCGATGATGCGGCCGCATCAGACCCCGATAGGAGGTTTGCGGTCATCCCAAAAGGGCCGGAGTTATCCGATGGATTGCAGACCATCACAATGAAGCAGCTGGCGAACGCTACGAACTTTTGTTGCAATTGGATCGAGAAGACGATTGGATTGCCAGCGCAGAGCCACGAGACGTTGGCTTACATGGCGTCCAATGACTTGCGCTATTGCTTCTTCCTTCTCGCATGTCAGAAGCTAGGCTACCAGGTAAGAACGTTAGAAGATGGTTAACAGCAGAATACTGATCAAACACTAGGCTTTTTTCCCGTCTATGAGAAATTCGGATGAAGCCCACACCCACCTTTTGAAAGTCATTGGTGTTACCAAGTTCTTCACTAGTGCAGAGCGTCATGGGCGTGTTCTCGAGATCCAAAGCTTTACCCCCGGCATCGAAGTCTTCGAGGTCCCCTCGTTGACGGCCATGCTCGCCGAGGGCGACTTTGGCTCTTATCCATTCCCCAAGACGTTCGCAGAGGCTGAAGATGACACGGCGGTGATCATCCATAGCTCTGGAACGACTGGTAGGTCCTCACTCATGTCTAATTACCAAAGTAATCAAACTCAACAACTGTATAGGACTGCCTAAACCAGTATATCTCACGAATGGCTTCTTCAGTACGATGGATGCAGTCCCTCGGATGGAATGGCCGGCAGACCGCGAGCCCGCTTTTCTCTGGCAGGACGGCGAGAAGGATCTCGTCCTATCAATTGCACCGTTCTTCCATTTGATGGGGATGATAGGTCTGATCTTCACTGTCTTCCATAAGACAGCGGTTTTGATTGGCCCCGAAAAGCCACCGTCTGTAGCATTTTTGACCGAGCTCATCAAAATGGGTAAACCTACGACTGCGGTTCTCCCTCCCTCGGTACTAGAAGATCTCGTTCACGACGACGACGCGGTTGCTTGTATCAAAGAGATGCGTGCTATCTACTTTGGCGGTGCTCCGATGGCGTCGGAAACGGGAAACCGGCTGCGCAAGTACACCAAGGTGGTGACTGTCCTCGGATCTAGCGAAGCCGGCTGGGTTCAAGCACTGGTGCCTAAAAACCCAGACGACTGGGTCTACTTTGAATGGCACCCGCAAGCCGGAGTTGTTATGGAACCAGTAGGCGAGGACCTGTACGAGATGGTGTTGAAGCGACAGGAGAATGGTAACCGGGACTTTCACGGTATCTTCCACACTTTCCCAAAGGCAGATACATATCGAACGAAAGATCTCTTCACTCCACACCCGACGACTCACGGTCTATGGAAATTCTACGGCCGGAGAGACGACGTGATTGTTCTAAGCAACGGCGAGAAGTTCAATCCGGTCACGATGGAGACTATGATTGAAGGCCATCCGCTGGTCTCGAAGGCTGTGGTCGTCGGCCAAGGTCGATTCCAGGCCGCTTTGCTGATCGAACCAAGCAAGCCGGAGATGGATGCTAAGGTGCTCGTTGACGAGATCTGGCCATCTGTGCAGGAGGCTAATCAAACAATTGCGCAACATGGCCGGGTGATGAAGAACCACATCGGGATCGGTTCGAAGGATAAGCCGTTCAAGAGGACCCCGAAGGGTTCGACGCAACGGCAAGCTACTGTGCGAGAGTACTACGAGGAGATTGCTGCCATCTACGCTGCTGGCCTAGAGGCGGAATTGGAAGACCATCTCCCAGAGTCCCTCGATCAGGCCACTGTTAGAGACTACGTCCACCGAACGATTGCTCGCGTGCTAGAGCAATCTGATATGCCCGTGGACCAGAACTTATACACTACACTCGGGCTCGACTCCCTCATGACCATCCAGATATCTAGGATGCTGCAGAAGGGCATTCAAATGCACGAACCGGACGTGAAAGCGGACCTTCTGAATCCTCAGACGATCTATGGTAACCCAACTGTGGAACAGCTATCGCAGGTCGTTTGCGATATCCTCGCGGGCAAAGCAGGGGAAGGACAGACCAGCATCAATCGAGAGGAGAAGATTCAGGGTCTAGTGGATAAATACACGGCCGATCTCCCTATCCGCGACGAGAACATCCCACAGAGTACAAATGCGCCCACCACCGTTATTCTCACCGGATCCACGGGCTCCCTGGGGACATACCTTCTCAATAGCCTTCTGGCCACCAAGTCCGTGACGAAGATCTACTGCTTGAATCGATCCGACGCAGCACAGCGCCAGAAGAAAGGTCTCGAAGAGAAAGGCCTACACATCGATGATGATGGATGGAAGAAGCTGGAGTTCCTACAGGCATCATTTGGAGAGCCGCGTTTCGGTCTCGACGAAGCCAAATACCAAGAGCTCCTGGAATCCGTCGACACGATCATCCACAACGCCTGGAAAGTCGACTTCAACCAAACGGTCGAGTCCTTTGAAGAGACGCATATCCGCGGCGTTCGGCGCTTCATCGACTTCAGCCTCCAGAGCAACGCGCATCTTCATTTTGTGTCTTCCATCAGTGCAGTCGGGGCATGGACTCCGGCCATGGGCCCGTCCGTACCAGAAGTGCCGATAGACGACTGCGCGGTGGTTCTCGCACAGGGATACGGCGAATCCAAGCATGTAGGTGAGCGCATCTGCCTAGAAGCTTCCCGGAGGAGCCGCGTGGCGACGACGATCTATCGCGTGGGACAGATCGCAGGGCCGACCTCCCCGAGCGGGCAGTGGAATCCGCACGAATGGTTGCCCACGATCATCGCTACGTCGAAGGCGCTGGGGAAGGTCCCCAATCGACTGGGAGCGATGGCCGTTGATTGGACCCCAGTGGTAAGGCCCCTTTTGGTTTAATTTTATCTATCAACATGACCAAAAGTCCCTTTCGGAGAGTCCATAACTAATCAATTTTTAGGATACCCTCGCCTCGATCATGACGGAGCTCGTCAACACACGTCATGGCAATCGGTCCCTGGACCTTTGCACTGCGTTCCATCTGACCAACCCGTCCACGGTGCCATGGTCCTCGCTAATCCCAGCTATCCAGGAGAAATACAGCGGCGTGGAACCAGTCGACCTGGCGGAGTGGGTCGGCGAGCTCGAGAAGATCGAGAAACCGACTGCGGCAGATGTAGCGCAGAAACCGGGACTCAAGCTGCTGGATTTCTACAAGAGCCTGCTGAGCGAGAAGTCGCTGGTCGTGGAGCTCGAGGTCAAGCGCACGCAAGAAGCCAGCGCCACCATGCGAACACTCGAGCCGATCTCCGTGGCGCTGATGTCGAATTGGTTGCAGCAGTGGCGGTTCTAAGCATAGATAGTGACCTCTATAGAGGCAAACCGAGAATAAATCTTATGCGCCTTCCTGTTTGGGCCATGCTTAGCTCATCCGGGTGTTTAGCCGTTTTCCCGATAGGCACTAGTCCTGTCCGGGTCAAGCTTCGGCATCGTGCAGCGAGACCAGTTGATCGATCGGATGTGCATAGTTTCATGGTGAACCTACATGGATGGAATAGGCGATCGACAGTACGAATGTTGAGAAATATAAATGCACTTAACGGGGTGGTGTTGGACTGGTCACGCGAGGTCTAACCTTCCCCGTCGGACGGTACCAGAGTCCTGGCCACGGTGGCTCACTCGCCTCCACCGGAATCCCCCAATCAGCCTACGCCCCCCTCCCTTCACTCCCCGACATCGCCGACCGTGTTGGACCCTAGCCATGTGGATGTGACGTTGAATAGCGAGACCCTTGTGTGTCATGGTCGACCAGACACACACACATCGGGGCCCTCCGGGAAATACTCCGTTGTCGAGAACCCTAATTGCTAACTAACCAGCCGGTACCTCTATCGGTGCAACCCTAACTAATCCTCGGGCTGTACCACCAGCCTCACCGGCAACATACATGGGGTCGATACAGGAGGCACGGAAGGTTCTGTACAGCCGCCGGAAGAAGAAGGATAATAGTGATTGTTGGAGCTGTCCCCGAGGCAGTGGGTCCGCATCACATCATAAGGGTTCGGCTGAGGCTCCACGGCCGTTCTAGACGCCGCCGATCGCACACACAGCGATTCGGTTTTGCGATGGCTGTATTGGGGATGATCGGGGGATACGATGCTGTGTTGCCGTTGCAATACGTCCCTACGACAGTGCCTACATACAGCGTCCTGTAGAGACCGGCAGTCGGCAATTCAATCATCGAACAGAATAGAAGGAATAAAGAAAAAGGCGACCCGTGGGTCCGCTTAGCCTGTCAACCACCGGAACTGGCGGAGCCGAATTTTCTTCTTCGGGGCACGATCGGAGGTGTTTCAAACAATGGATACGAGTCTGGGCTCTGTCTTCCTTTCCATCTTCTCTCTCCTCTTCTTTCACCTGTCACACCCAACCAACCCTCTGCCTTCGTTTGTCCACCCCGTGTCTGCCCAAGCCAGCTGGTCTATGGCTGTTTGGCCCACGTCTCTCTACTTCTCTGTCTCTTTCATCATCCCATCACACCGCCACGCCTATTCCGCAACGGTTAAACAACTGGCCATGCCTCTCTCCTCTTGAGCGCCCTGATTGCATTCCTTCCCTCCCTCCGGAAGCCCTGCTTCGCTTCCAACTCTCTCTCGAGACATTCTCTTGCCATGTTGAAACAACTGTCTCGCATCGAGGGGGATTCGTCGGCTCCGACAATGCCCCGCCTGCCGCAATCGCCGCTGACCGTCGACTCATCTGCGCCTGCGTCGCCCGCCATCTCCCTTTTCTCTGCCACCGGCCACACGCGCATCTCTAGTTCTGTCTCTTCGCTCGTCTCCGGTCTGGGCAGCTCAATGGAGAGCCCAAGTCGGACCCAGTTGTCCGGGGTCAAGGAAGAGCCTTGGCCTCGTCAGTCGTCGGAGTTGGAAGACCAATATTTTGGTATGTATCAACCATTCAAACATTTTGCATTCCATACTAACAACAACTGCCGCGACAGAACATTTCGACTATGACATGCCTATGGACGATCTATGTTTCTCTCCCATCGACACAACCGATAGCTACGATCTCAGTGACACGGGTATGGACCAGTCTCACTCGCCGAAAAAGCGCTGCTCCGATTCCTCCATGAAGGGCGTCTCGCGCATCAGCTCTCACATCTCGATCATGTCCACGCGCTGGAAGTCCAAACATGCCTCAGGTGGCACCGAAGACGGCTTTATTGAAGATCTCCAGTCGCGCGCCAACTCCGCGGCCTCCTCCGCCCTCGCCAGCCCGGTCATGAGTCCCGTTAGTCCCGTGGGGCGGTTCGACTCGCAGATCCCGCCATCACCCGCGCGGACGATCTTTGAGGAGCGCATCAGTGATTCTGCCGTGCGACCGATCGATATCACGCGCGCCAATAGTTTCGGCGAGGACGAAAATGACACCCTCCAGGCGACGACGCCACTTCTCCCGCCTTTCATGGGTGACGACCCCACCAGTGTCACTGCCTCCCGGGTGCAGTCGCCGCTCCAGTCCCCATCAGTCGCAGACGTCAGCCAGTCCACTCAATACAGTGGAACCTCCGATCCGCGCATCGCGGGCATCCCCTCGCCCCCACTGTCCTCAAAACCATCCGTCGCGTCATTCAGCCGACCCCGAGCCAGCACCGTCCGCACAATCTCGGGTGAACCCACACCCTTCATCCTATCCGACCCGAACGACGAATGGGCCAACAAACTAGGCCATGCCAATTTCACCATCCAACCGGAACCTTACGTGCCCACCACCTGCGACATCGACACATTCCAACAACTGCGCGCAGACTGGGATATCGCCCGGTGTAACTACGCAAAACATCTCGTCCGCACAGGCGAGCACTACGGAACCACGTCGAACATCTACAAGCTCACCGAGGAAAAATGGGAGTTCATCAGCCGACAATGGAGAAATCAGCACGATGGAATGCTGAACCTGCTCGGTTCGGTGGACGGCGTCGCCTTGACTCTGACTCAGTCGAACATGTACCCATGCGAGCAGGTCCGCATCCCCCGTCTGCACGACAATGACAAATTCCCCGAAATGGGCGACGAGGACATCGTCGGTCCGATGACCGTCGCGTCGCCGAATGAGTGCTCGGGCTCGTCTCTAAAGAAGCGGGCTTTCTTCAAGTTCTTCCGGGGCCTGGTCTCCCGGTCATAAAATCTGTTCTCTCATCTCGGAACACCAACACCCATCTTCAACGACATTAATGACGATAGAACGCTTTCCTATCTTTATTCAGCGCGGCGTTCCGATCCATACACCGTCTTATTCGCCTTTTTTCGGACGCTTTTTTTGGCTTTTGGCTTTTGGCCTTGCCACGACACTAATGCCTACTTGTCCCTTGTTTTCAATGACATTTACGACTCACTCACGATTTCGTTGCCCGACTACTGCTCTCGGTGCCGGATCATGCCTTTCCTTGGTCTTTCTCATTCTTCATGAGTCATTGTATTCTTTTTTCTTTCTTTGTTGGTCTTGCCGCCTTAAGACAAGACCTGTCCTCTCGTTTGTGCACGATACCCCGTACCATTTCTAGGTACATCTATCATCTGTATTTCATAGACCAGACCTACTATTTTCGTTCATGTTTCATTATCCAAAAGCAAAAAGAATAAAACAAAAGAAATTACTGATTTATCTACTTTTTGTCTGTATATATCTGGTTTATATCCCATAACGCAGGGAAAGGGACGAAACCAGGCGTACTTGTCAAGCTAGACCTAGACAATTCACTCCCATGTGAATCCCGCCAAGGCCAATTCCTTCATAAAATTCCGAGAATGGAATCACTATTTATCCACTTCGGACACACAGAGTTCATGTCCACAGGAATCCGCTGGAAAGCGTAGGAGCCGCGACATCCTGGCATCGGAACTACGTTCTAGAAACATGCAAATTGCAACACACTCCCCCCTGATCCTTCCCTCTATCCACGGCTGCCATTGTGATAACAAGCACATGAGACCCATCCAATGCGCCATAATTATAAGAGCAGGCGGGTCTCTATTCCTCAGAAGAGTAAGGAAGTCGCACTCCAATCGGCCCATAAAGGAAGCACAGTGGGCGGAGTTGTGGCCGTTCTTTTCCAGTCTCAGAAGTTTGGAAAGGATACGAAGAGGACTGTAATAAGAGCTAGTCCTTTTTGTAGTGGAATCATCAATCTGACAAAGATCTGCCAAATCCGAATTGAGACCCTCTCGTCCCTTTTGAATCTCCTGGTCGTAGAGTTGGCGCTCTTCTTTGTTGGTTTCCGCGAACGCAGCAGCCCAGATGCTGTTGGACAAATATGGTTTGGCCAGAGATATAATGCATCGCAGCCCACTCTGTAGGCAGAGCCAATTCATGGCTTCTGGCCTATTTGTGAGAACCCAAGAATCAGTAGGTTCGAAACGCTCGGGGCAAACCGTCACGACGCCCATCAACATGCAGGTGGATAATAGACCATCGACGTTGTCTTTGCTGACTGACATAGATAGGGCCTCTTGGTATTGTTGAATGGCGTGCTGCCAGAAATATGACTCCGCAAAGGATCTTTCTTCGCTGGGCGAAAGACGATTGAGATGGAGCATGCCAACTCCGATGATTGTGTACATTAAGTGGTTACTCTGAACCAGGTCCATTAGAGAACGGGCTGAGCAATTAAGAAAGCCCTGGTCAACTTACAGTGAATGACACACGTATCACGTCAGTCTTCATGACATCTCGGATGGCGGGATCAGCAATTGTCTCAGTGGAATGGTGAATAAAATGCTGAAATGACATAGTACTGATGGAACGTGCATAGTCTTGGCCCCTGGAACCAAATTGATTCCATTTCGAGTCAAGGCTCAGTGTGTCTCCAACTCTTTTCATGACACTCTCAAGAGGGTATGACATTATAGACGGATCACTGAAGACCGGCGTCCCGTCCACGGAAATCTCACAGCGAGATGGATTTGAGTTTGACGAATAGCGACATGGAACACCCCGACGCTGACATCGCTGGCAATGTGGTCTTTGTTCATCGCACTATACGGGACTTTAGTTCCATTTGGTCAAGATGAAAACCTTGCCAGCAGCCATACTTTGACTCTTCTCTCTTTACAGTTTAGACAACCTGTTCGAGATTTATTGTGAGAACGTCGCCCATGGAATACCCGTAATTGCTGCTTTCGTGGTATAGATACACGGAACACGGTCTGCAGGGGTCGGGCCTTGGTGAGCACCCCGTCGGACGGACTATCATCCGATGGTATATGCAATGAATCATGACTTCCCGGGTGCATAGTTTGTAGCTTCAGAAGTGTCGTTCCACGTAGGTTTTGAGGTGAGTGACGTTGGTTAATGGGCGAAATGCTTATCAGTTTGTGGTCTTAATAAGGACAACTTTGGGCGGTCGGGAGGTAAACTCAAAATATCGCCACGATTGAATTCATCATGTGACGAATTTAGTCGATAGGATATATTATTTAGTCGATAGGATATATTAGTTAGTAGAGCTTTGGGCCGCCCTAATACTTCGGGGGGTAATTAGCTGGCATTAGGCTTCGCCCTAACCCGTAGGACCCATTAGAGCCCCAATTAGGTCACAAACAAATGCAAACATATTTATGAAAATTACGCTCTGTTTTAGGTAAGTAATCGCCGCCGATGACGCCGAGCATTAGATATTCCATCTATCTGGTGGGGGTTAGTATCCATTACTTCAGGGTCAAACAGGTTGTATGTGACTTAGTAACGGCCTGTGTCTATATTATCACACTACTAATTTCTTTGAGTAGCACCTTTCCATCTACTACGAGAAGCTCCATGAGGAGGAACTTCGAGCTCTTCGGCCCCAAATGGAGGCCCTCCACTTACGGGTCATCAACCAGGGATGTGCTTAGTAGATAAAGGAATGTATAGGAGTTGTGGTCCAAGTGTACATCAAATGTATTTTCACTCAGACATGAGTAACATCTTGCTTGCTGCCGTTATAGTCATCAATGTTGTTTAAGCCAGATCCACCAATCTTCTCTCCTTCAAGGTCCCTCACATTAAGCTCGGCGCCAGTATATGGGCTGTCAACAGGGTTGAAAGGGTTAAACCTGACTTCAAAGATGGCGTCAATTTCCTCAAGCGCGCGATCCTGGACAAGTCATGCCGTGTCAGCTTAATAGTTATACAGTTGTGGGCATAATCCGGAAAAAGAAATCTCACCTTGGTCTCTGGGAGGAAGAAGAAAGTAAAGATAAAACCCAGTACTGAGATGCTACCAAAAACCCATCCAACCTGAAAGTGGATACTGTTGATGATGTATGGGATAACAAAGTTGGTCACAAATGCCCACAGGACATTCCACGAGGTCCCCAAACCCTGTGTCTTCTCACGTAGAGCGGCGTTCGGGATCTCAGTGCCAAGCAGGTAGGGGATAGAGGCGCCACCCATCTAGAAGAGAGATAAAAAAGGTTACGTTAGGTTTTCAAGGCTTGTCTCTGTATGCTTAGGCTGAAAACTCACATTGTAACTAAAGGAGTAGAGCATAAATGCAGCTACAACCGTGTTATTCTCAGTAGACGACTTGTATGCCATCTCGCCGATACCGGCCAACAGAAACATAAATAAGCCCTGGAAGAAGAAGGTGATAAAGAGAGTGTTTCGACGACTATGTGGATATAGGTCAGCTGAACTGAATTCAAGCACTACTATATCCTTCGACTCACCCAAGCTTGTCCACCATGTACATGGCTGGAAGGACAGCGACGAAGCTGAGACAGCTGTTAATGACGGGGTAGGTGAAAGCCTCGGCGGCGTATCCGTTCTGTTTATAGAATGTCGTTTGATAGGTAGAGACGAAAGCTTGGCCGGTGGTCTGTAGTATAACATGAAGGTTAGGCCATTAGTCATTTAGTGGAGCATTAACGCGGCGGTAACTATTCACCTGTTGGAAAAAGTAGTAAACTATGACAAGCATCGTTCGACGGAAATTGTGGCCGCGCAGAAGGTCGACCCAAGGGCCTTTGCGGACGTGCTCTTGAAGAGCCTCCTTGATAGCCTGAATCTCTGCTTCGCAATTACCTTCAATGGCATCGGCCTTTGGTCTGATGCGGTGAAGGGTAGCGATGGCTTCGTCCTCACGGTCTTTGGAGAGGAGCCAGCGAGGAGAGCTAGGGATGAAGAGCGTAAAGATAATAATGACTAGGAAAATGCGCGCTTAGCTTTTTTCTTTTATTGATCAGTGGCATAGTTTGGCGGGCGCTGTGATGGCTACTTACGGACAGGAAAGACGAACTGGATGCCTGTGACAGTCCTCCATCCGACAGAATCGGTGCTTGTGGACAAGCCTTTGTTAACGCCAGTGGCAATCACAGTCCCGGCGTTTAGAAAGAGCTGCAGGGAAACAACGACGAGGCCACGAAAAGACGCTGGAACAATCTCGGCTTGATATGTGCTGTAGTAGACCTGTCAGTTTTTACCGTCTGAAAAAGGCAATAAGAACTCACGTCACATCTACTTCGACAAGACCAACCGAGATATAGACAATGATTCGACCAACTACAAACTGTGCAAAACGCCCGGAGCCTTCGCTGGTGCCTGCAGCAGTCATCTCAACTACGGAGAAGGGAGTTAGCCGCAATCACTTTGAGGGAGCCAAGAAACATACCGATAATGCCGATGACCGAAACGATGGAGAGACCGAAAAAAACTACTCGGTGGCCGAATCTCTCAATGGCTGGGCCGGCGATGAAACACCCGAGAAACTTGCCAATAAAAGGGAGTGATGACATGAGCGATATGTGGACAGAGTCCAGGGCATAGCTCTGAGTGCTGGGGTCATACTCGCCGAACTGCTTCAGAAAGCCCTAGACACAACCATAGATTTAGCGAATGGATAACTACTCGGTAAAGGGAACTTCAAGCAAGCACAAAGGACAAAACTCACGGGATTGGCGAGGATACCACCAAAACTGGCCGTGTCATAGCCAAACAGCATATCCCCTACGAGCAGACAGAAGCAGGAGAAGAGCAGCATAGGGGTTACCAAAGACCGCGACGCGGAACTCTTGTTGGCCATCGTGTCTCGGGGCCTCTGGGCGGTGGTCAAGCTATCTGGTGATGAGAGGAGTATGGGCAACGTGAAGGTGAGAATCACGGTGAGGTGATACAATAAACCGGGGACGATGCGCGTCTGGCTTCCCGTTTATACGCCAATTAGTTGATCGCCTCATCCTTTCACAATATGTCGATTCTCGGAAACTGGGGCAAGCTCATGTTCGAGTTTTGCGGGGAGGTGTTCCGAGCGAGATTTGTTCGGCCGCGCTCCGAGCGAGAGGCTCCACCGTTGTACCCCGGACCAAACGATTTGTAGGACAACAGTATGCTCCAGGTCTGTGGTATAGCACCATCTTGCTCGGAATTGTGCAATGTATTGAACTATGAGCAACATGATCTCCATGAGAAGATAAAAGCTCCCCCACAATCCACAAAGGCGAGCCAGAAAGTTCCAGTCACACATCCAAAACAACCGAGTGGTCATATTGACCCTCACACTCTCCCAGATATCTAAATACTTAAATTCGACGGTCTCATCAGAAGGAGCTGCCACCGCCATGAAGATCCCCAGTGCTCTTATTGTTCTCATTGACTTGGCGATGGCCGCCAGTAATGTCAATATCACGGATCATATCGCTATCACGGTACCCAGCTCAGAGCCGCCTTTTGCCAAACTAGTGGATCAGGCCATGGCATCCTTTTCGCTAGAGTTTCAATTCTGGCCCACTTATGCGGGAAATGCGACAGGTCAGCCGAACCATTATGTGAACCAACTGTTTAGCAACCTGGCCCAGAGAACGGGGAAAACGCCGGCTGTGCGTGTCGGGGGTCAGTTCATTAGTTCTCTGGTACCATATATCCATCTCTAATTGCTAGCGTATAACAGGTACGAGCGAAAACACTGCCTACGTTGATACTTCATTTCAGTTATGGAATTCTAGCCAGCTGAAGGAAGTCCACGGGCCTTTTATCAACCGCGCCAATACCACCATTGGTCAGGACTGGTATGTCCTTGCGGGAAATCTCCCCGCCGGGACTGAATTCACGTTTGGCTTAAACCTATACGACCAGTCTGAAGTTGCCAGCCAGGCAAAGATGTTGGCAGACGCTTTCCAGGGCTCCCGTGCTCATCTCACAAAGGACGTAACCCTCAAGTTTATCCAGGTTGGCAACGAGCCGAACTTCTACTTTCCTACCGCGGCCGAATATGTAGCACACTGGAAGCCTCTTGCTCAGGCGGCTCTACAGAATATCAAAATGGGCCATGAAGGCCAACCCACTTTCTGGATCGGGTCCGAGTATATCTACGACGAAGGGTTTCTGTTAACGGGGGCGCTCGAAGCAGGTATCTTGGATAACCACGAGATTTTTCATGCAAATCATGTCCTTGACGAGCATCAGTACTCTGGTGCCATGGGCCTAGGCGCAATTCCTGGTGGCCCGCCCCCTGGGTCCTTGATGAACAAATTGTCTATTCGGGGTAATCTATCTACGGTTTGTAATGGAATGCTAAACACGCAGAGCTACAAAAAAGCATATTACTTGGTAATAATGGTCTCCCTTCTTGAATCACGCATGTGCAGTGTGGCTAATATATGTAATGGTCTATAGGGGGAAGCCAATACTTACGCTGAGTATGCACCCCTTCGTATTATCTATCAGGGTCACGATTGACTTATATACGTTTTGGATATATAGAGAAGCAATTTTTGGTCTATCCAACACGGCGGAATCTGCAATTTGGACCGTTGACTACATGCTCAAAGCCGCTTCAATAGGCGTCGAGAGAGTCTACTTACACAGCACGCCCAACCGGCTTTTCTCTGTCTTCCAGCCCGGATGGGGATTCACCAATGGCACTGGGGTTAATCGCCCCCATATAATGCCAATGTATAACGGTCTACTTGTTGTGGATGAAATGATCGGGAAGACCGGGAATGCCAAAGTTGCTGAGATCGAGAACTCGAATGTCGCCATGGCATCGTATGGTGCGTGGGAGAACAGCGAGCTGGTCAGGATAGCACTCATCAACTCCCATACTTTCCGCCAGAATGATACGGTCAGGTCTGCTCTGAATGTCACACTGAGCGGTGGGTTTAAGGGAGGATGTACCACAATCAAGCGTCTGGACATTCCTTACACTACAGCCACCGAGGGCATGTGAGTTGGGCCTATTTCCCCTGGCTCACTAGAGACAGAAGCTAAATACTCGCGAATTGGCTAGTTCATGGGCCGGGCAGTCATTTGAGACTGACAATGGCGCACCCTCTGGGAAAGTTGTTGAGGCAACCCTCGAGGGCACATCAATCACTATTGCGGCTTCCGAGGTCGTCATGCTTCAGCTCAGCTCTCAATGCTGAGGTAAAGAAAGCGGACTGAGATAAAATGAAAAGAGTATAAGCCCACGTGGAGGGCCAGGTCTAAGTATGCCTAGGTAGTTCAGGCGTCCAGTAGCGGCATATACTGGGCTCTTTCTCTCCTCTTGCTTAGATAGACAAACTCTATTCATTCCTTGTGTCTCTCTCCATCTCAAGCCTCGTCTGATCAAATCCTGTCTGAGCACAAAGGTCAGTCTGGAATCTTTGCCGAGGCCCTCTTTCGGAAGTAAATAATTAATGACGATAGAGGGTTCCGAGCGAGTCTCCACAATCGCTTGACACTCCGAAATATGTGCCGACCGCATTTCAGAACATGGCACCAGGAAAGCTCGGTCACTTAAGAGCAAATATTCTAAGGGTTTTGTCTTTCACCCGAACATTTCGAAAGTGCTGAACTACACCTCCCTCTGCTTTCATACAATCTCTCCCGTTTGAAATTCATCGAAGCAGCATGGGTAGTATTCCCAACGGGACGCCCAAGCGTCCTAACTTTCTCTTCATCCTCGCCGACGACCTGGCATGTTCTTTCTTGTATCCGTATGCATACAAAGCTAACATGCATTGTCGGTAGGGCTTCTCCGATGTGGGATGTTATGGCTCCGAGATCCAGACGCCCAACATTGATCGATTGGCTGGTGAGGGCATTCGAATGCTCAACCACCATGCCGCTGCGGCGTGTTCGCCCACGCGCGCGATGCTTCTTAGCGGAACCGATGCGCATCTCGGTGGGCTGGGCGTGCTCATAGAATACAAACAAAACGAGAAGGGAGCAAAGCGGTGGGCAGGCAAACCGGGATACGAAGGGTATCTGAACGATCAGGTGGCGACGTTGCCTGAGATCCTGGGGGACAATGGGTACTTTACCGCCATGTCTGGAAAGGTACATTGTTTCCATCCTCGCTTTCACTTTTCTACTTTCTGGATATAGAGGCTGACAAACACAGTGGCACTTAGGGCTACGGGCCAGTCAAGGGCCTTGGGAACGTGGGTTCCAAAAAGCATTTGCCATGCTTCCAGGGTGCTGCAACCATTACGGTTGGGAACCAGTGCAGGAGCGTTTTCCGGTTGGCGGCTCTCCACTTCACGCGGAGAACGGGGGCAAAGTTGACATGTGTGTACTTGCTGCAGAATGCGGGCGCGCGCCGCGTGTGCTAACGAAAGATCTTACCCTAGTCAACCGAACAAGACAGAAGATCCCAAAGACTTCTACTCAACGGACTACTACACCAATCAACTCATCCAGTACTTCGAGGGGCGATCGGAGGATGACAAGTCAAAGCCCTTCTTTGGGTTCTTGCCGTATACTGCCCCCCATTGGCCCCTCCAATGCTCTAAAGAAAAGCGCGACAAGTAAGACCCATTTCCACCTCGAGTTGCTTTGATATTGTGTTGACAAACCTCTGAATCCCAGGTACAAGGGAATGTACGATGACGGCCCGTATGCCTTGCGGGAACAGCGCCTGCAAAACCTTGCGGAGATGGGCATAATCGACAAATCCGTCGTACCACATCAAGTCGAAACAACTACACAGGGTGTTGGAGAATGGGAGGAACTTACACCAGAAGAGAAGAAGTTGTCTAGTCGAGCTATGGAGGCGTATGCGGGTATGGTGGACTCGATAGATGAGAACGTCGGCAAGGTGGTTGAATACTTGAAGAAAACTGGGGAATACGACAATACTTTGATCGTGTTCATGAGTGACAATGGAGCAGAGGGAGCTGCGTGAGTAACTTTAAACCAACCCCCTTAGGGTTTTGCTGACATTGTGAACTTGGCATCTAGAATGGAAGCCGCTCGTGAGTTACAGCTAACAGGAGATCAAGACTCGGGCTAATCTTTATCTCGCAGCGGTCATGGGAGACAATATTATACGCGCTATTCACGAGTTCTATGACAACTCGTACGACAATATTGGCTCCTGGAACTCATTCACTTGGTACGTTCCCTACAATGGCGCTAACTGCCCTCCCGACTAAAGTTAATATAATAGGCTCGGACCCCTTTGGGCCCAGGCGTCGACAGCGCCGTCGAGGCTGTTTAAGTGCTTTCCTTCCCAAGGGGGCATCCTCGTTCCGTGCATCGTTAAACCACCTGCCGATACTTTCTCTCCGTCTTATTCGTCAGGTTCATTCAGTCGTTCGTTCACAACTGTCATGGACTTCGTCCCCACATTTCTGGAGTTGGCTGGGTTGCCTCTCCCCATCGACTCCGCCAAAGGTACCACGGCACGAAAAATGACCACTTTCCGGGGGAAGGACGTTCACGCTATACGTGGCAAGTCATGGGTACCATTTTTCAGTCAAGGAGAGACAGTCGAAGACGATGAGGCGTGGTACATCCACTCGTCAACAGAGCCCATTGGCTGGGAACTCTTTGCGCGGGGCGCACTGCGGAAGGGAAACTGGAAGATTGTTCATATCGAAAAAAGTCATGGGGGTGCTGGAGTGGGAGACGAAGGGTGGGAGCTATTCAACGTGGCTGATGATCCCGGAGAAACGAAAAATTTGGCTCAGGAGATGCCACAGAAGATGAAAGAGCTTCTAGCCTGCTGGGATGAGTACGTAATTGAGTGTGGAGTTGTTTGGGGAGAGGCAGCTCTGGACCCAGGGTTGGACGCTGGCGAGGCACCTGAGCTATGGGAGGATGAGGTGGAATTGCAAAAGTCTTGGATGGGTGCTCGGCAAGGAGAATGTCCGACCTTTTGTCGTTGAAATAGAAGAGTTGATTATCAAGTCCTTACCCCCTGTTTACACGGCGAGACAGACTTTTGAGAATCCATGCGAGTAGTGGCTGGTGGTGGATCGGAATAAGGCGTGATTTACGGTTGACATGATACAACCTTTTCCGAGCGAGGGTTGTGCCGCGCCGAGCGAATTGCCTATTTCGTACATCTACCCAAAGATTCCGCCTAATAATGTGGGGCTTCTCGATTCCCAGTTCGCTTCTTCCACTTCGTCCTCCGGTCGGGGAAGCTTCACGACTCTAGAAATCCCGAAGAAGAGCAGACAATTAATCCAGCATTACGAGAGATCCCGCGTTATGACCAAGACAATGATCCACCGTACCCGGACGGGGTGTCGTACATGCAGATCTAGAAAGGTGAGATTGCTTCTGGCGGCTTGACGTGGGGGCCGCAGTTTGACACATGATAGGTTAAATGCGACGAAGAGAAACCCGTGTGCTCCCAATGCCATAGGGGAAAGAGGACCTGCGATTGGGCATGGGCAGACAATAAGAAAACAAGACTCGCCAGAAGACCTAACTCCACAGCATGTGTCCCTTGCAGACAGAAAAAGGTATCTCTATAGTGATCAGTTTGCAACTTGGCGTCTCTAACCATAATCTGTTATAGCTCAAATGTACTGGAGACGTGCGGGATGCTTGCGAGAAATGCCAGAGCATGGGTATAACCTGTGTGAGACCAAAGAATGGCGCCGAGTCAGCATCGCTTGGATACCCACCCCTACCTCTTTCGAACGATACCACACCACAAGCTCATTTTTCGTCACCCTTGCCAATCAGCAGTTTTGAACGAGAGCGCCATCAGCATGTTACCGACCACAGTGATGAAGCGGCAGAGGCTTCGTCACAGACACAACATGTGGAATCAGCGTCTCTGGGACAGCTGCCCAAGGGCAGAGGACTGGAAAGTTTAGTAGATTTGTATTTCTCGACTGTACATCGTGAGTTCTTATCCTTCTCGTTTGTCTCTAAAGCAATCTAATTGACACTTTATAAGATTTTGGATACTTGTCATTCATTCATCAACTACATTTCAATCGCCTGTTAGCCAAAGGCAAAGCACCGCGTGAACTGACCCTCATGATGATTGCGAGCGCAATGCGGTGAGTTGCACTCATAGCGAATTTCGTGTCGAATATATCCGTTGACCATTAGTGTGTAGATTCGCCGCAGATCCTTCGCCGGAGAATCTTGCAAAAGCAGACGCATGGGCAGATGCAGCATTGGCCTCGGTGCCTCGTATCTATCAAGGCTTTGGGGGTATCCAACTCATGGTACGTTTCTTGCGATAGCTACTCCACTCCACCTGCAATCCAATAGGCAGCTAATGGTATGAGTAGACACTATTGCTAGCGCAGCATTACGATCTGAATCGTGGGCACTTCACGTCGGCTTGGCTTCTAGGAGCTAACTGCACGAGGTAAGGACTATTCCCACTTTTTAGAGCCGTGCCGCTACTTGCCGAATGTTAACGCTCCCAGAATGATGCAAATGATGTCCTTGCATGTATACGACCGAACTTTTCCAGTGAAATTTCCTTCCAATCTACGACTTTCGCCCCTTCTTACTGGCGAGGCCCTCCGCCGGGTGGCATGGAGCACATTCTATGCCGACACAATGCTCGAAGCCGGCCGCTACGGGTTCCACGTTGTGGACGAAAAGTCCTATCGTGTTCAACTTCCTTGTGACCAGACCAGCTTTCTAAGCAATCAGGCAATTGTGACAGAGCCGCTATTCCACAACTCTAACGTGGCTGCACATACCAACTCTGACGACTTTCAGCGAGCACCTCTTGATATGTCAGGACATCTTCTTCGGACAGCAGCAATGCGCCGTCGTGCTTTGCATTTTGCTTTCCGTGCCTCGCACCGGGAGCAGACGGTTGAAGAAATGATGTCTGAGCTTTCTACAATTGAGGCTGAGATCGAAGAATTTGTCAGGGCCTTGCCCAAAAATTTCCAATTCAACACAGACAACATATTTATCCACCGCGATCAACTAATCACCTTTATTCTCTTGCATGTTGTTCGTCATAACCTTTTCATCATCATTGGAAGAGCTGCACTGCACATCTACCAGCGCGACCCAACTAAAGCAAACCTTATGACTCAAGTCCGAAGGAAAAGGATCTCGCATGCTCTCCCTATCGCCGCGGTAATCTCAGAAGGTCTAAAGTCAGGCATTCCTTTTGATACACATATCGGGGTACATGCATACGTTGCCCTAGAGAGTAAGAATCTCCCATGTATTTTGCAAAACCTGCTAACCTAAAACACCACAGTCCTTCTTTTTGAGCCACGCCGTATGGCCCAGACAGACCAATCGATCGATGTAAAAGCACCAGAGATTATGGAGGCAATTCCTCATCTTCTGGCTGTGATTCGGGACCTCGGGGCTCGATCTGAACTTGTGAAGCAACTGGTAAGTAGAGAAGAGTGAAATGGAAGTCCTCGCTTACGAAGTCAAGCATATCGAGGCGGTCCACCGGCTCCTACGATGCGACTGCATGCATCTTGTGAATCAAGTCGACTTTACTGCTTTCCACAGGTTTGTCAACAGAAAGCTCTGGTAGTGTATAACTGGGCTGACATGATCTACAGTGAATATCGCCTAGTCGGCCAGGACGCGGCAGAGTTCGATTTCCGCGACTTTCGCGGGGCCAAGCTAGAGCGGCTCCGTCGAGGCGCGAAATTGACAACGAGTGGAAGTCGGGATGAAGCTCTGCTTGAGTATACTGAAGGCGGGGACGCGGCCGAACCGTCGATGCCCTCTTCACCACGCCTGGACGCAATTGACGTCGACAACACCTCATTGTGGCCTTCTAATGCACCATCACTTCACACTATACCATCACATGCCCTGAACATGGTAGCAGAGCAAAATGTGGATGGAAATGGGGATCCTGCAGAGAAATACTGGGAAGTCCATCAAGGTAGACAAGTCGAGCAAGAATTTCCGCTAGATTGTCCTTGGCCCTGGCTGTTCGAGGAATCAGGCACCTCGGTGTATCAGACTGGTGACCCAGTCACCTTTTGGAGCCAGCTACAGTGAGTTTGAGCTCTAGTGGTTATACTTGTTGTTATCCAATCCATTCCAGAAATACCATGACATCCTCCTTCCTTGCTGCGACAGGAACTGTAGAGGGTCTCTACTTGATTCATATAGCTACTTATTTAGCTAATCGACTATATTCATTTGTACGATAGCTCATGAAGAATCTATGTGAATGGAATGGTAAAACTGATTTCGATCGACCCTATACTCGGTTTATTCATCCCCAACTAAGTTGGGCCCTGGGTCAGGTCCTCGAAGGGGCGGCTGTGGGAGATGTGTACTTATAGGGTCACCTACTGTTTCTAAAGGATACAGATCAGGAAGTGACGTGGATATCTGCAACGCCATCGCATTTCAGGCAATGTGCAGCATAAGAAGATGCAGTCACGCACAACCACGTCGACCGTCAAGTCAACTTACTCAACACAAGCACGAGAGACACAGTCATAGGCTATATCCAGTATTGACCCCACACCTTTCGTGCATCCTCACTCCCTTGGAATTGGAACCGAACGGGGATGATATCCTCGAATCCTTCGTCGAGTGTTGGTTCCTTGAAACGGCTCGCAAAGCTCCCGAAAGCAATACCTGGTACGGAGGAGCGGGATTCGGGATTCTAATGGCGTCAGCTTTTGTCAAAAAAAAAAAAAAAAAAAGAAGAGGAGACAGACTAGTTCCTTGTTCGCCGCTCGAACGGCATTGTTATGCCGGCACAGCTCAGGGGAGGAGATAAATTGTACGCAGCGGATGGGTACATTTAGTTCCTTTGCTAGAGATGTCCAGTAGGCTCTTGTTTCAAGGTCGGCGTTTGTATTGTCTGTACGAATACTTTGTTAGCTATGACTTAGAAGGGAGAAGATGGGGAGAAGAACATACCGACTGCGACGGACTTCTTTGCTTCGAGATGTTCTCGGGCAACCTTGAGGCATTTCGGACGCTGATTGCTGTCAGTACTGTCATCCCAAACAGTCCAGGAGCATACACACTGTTCCGAGTTTATCCTGGTTGACACGCTCGTAGCCCAGCGGCTCCATGTGGTTCCAGTAGAATGTGGATTTCCCTGCACCGGGACTGCCGCAGAAGATGACTAGCTCAAGAGGATGTTTTCGGGAGAACGGTTTTGAGACTGTTATGGCTGTCAATGGGATATTCTTTGAAGAGGAAAGACGGGGCAATTGATCAGCCGTACCGGGTTGATCTGGGCTCGACTTCGTGTATAACGACGGATCAAAGACTTCAGTCAACGGGTCCGAAGCTTGCCCAAGGAAGAACTCCTCTGGCGTTTTGAATGGTATCCCAATATTTGCAGCGAAACCGCTAGACAAATTAGCATCAAGCCACAAACTTTCATAGACGATCCTACCGATCCGTAGAAGAGTGATCACCAGGCCGTCCAGCAGCATCACCAACAAACACAGAGCCAGACAAATCCACACCCGCAACATCGAGATCATAGTCGTCCAGGAACTCACGCCACATGCCCATACGAGGCTTGCGGTATTCGTCATTCTCTGTAGCTGCGTAGACACTCAAAGGGACTTCGAGTTGAGTCATGACAGCAGTCGTTTTCTCCTTGAATGTCGCAAGGCTCTTCGAGTCGCTGTGTCCGCCTTTCAAATCCTTTTTGAGGCTGATCTTTTTCTGGTTTGAGACAACAACGACCTGAAATCTAGGACCGACAAACAAATCAGTGGGGAGGTTGATAGTAGGGGAAGGGTGAATACCCCTTAGAGTTGAGTTCTTGTAGACGATTCGGCACAGAGGCGTGCCACCATTTCCAATCCGTTGCCGATTTGGCGAATGTGTTCCCTGACTGTGTTGTGATGAGAGTTGAGTCCTGTATGCTCAACCAACCCGATTAGCCTTCCTTCAAGACAGAAGTGGGCAGCGCTGACCAGATCAAATGCAGCGATCTTTCGCTGTCCTGCTGCTGGTTGTTGTGCAGTCTTGCCATCTGGTGTGTACCTGCCGATGACCAAACTGTTTTGAACGATGCGCCAGGTTATGGGCTCAGGCTTCTTCTGTGAGGTTGGAGTGAAAAAAGAGGCCATCGACTTCTCTGCACGTTTCGTTAGCTCCCATTAGCTGTCATGATGCCTACTCTGCTCACTGGTCACTGTCGATTCAACCTTCCGGCGCACTGGTGGGGGCGAGATCGCCCGAGTGGGGGAAGCGGCGCGCTTTACTCCCCCCTCGGCCATTTTGAGAGCTCGATTGAGGATCGTTGTGACGGATTGTGTAAGATTCCAGCTTAGAGCGGCATGGAAGAGGTGGTGTTGGTGGTGTGGAGAGAGAAAGAAGGTTGAGGTGGGCGACGCGATGGTAAGGCGCGAGGAGGTCACGAAGTCACATGGTCTGCCCCTAACTACTATAACCACTTTGGGAGTACAACAAAATCATTACGGTCATTAATATTTTGGTTCTATCAGATGGAGTTATTGTCTCCGGGTATATCACACATCATCCTATAGCTGGTCTCTCTATTTGGCCCTCGTATCCAAGGAGAGACGGTCCGCCTGCTCCAGGCGCACCGCCGACTTCAGCTGCTCGCGCAGCCCAAACAGATGCTGCGAGGCTGTCTTCATCGTCTCCTGGTTGCTGCCATCCTGGACCGTGATGGCCGCCTGCAACACATAGCTACCGCTCTTCTCCAGCGGGGCCATATCCTTGAATGCAGGCAACTGCCGCCGGGGCTCCCGATACTCCTGGTCCGTCGTCGGGTAGTGCAGTACGCGGTGCAAGAAAATGACAATGTCATTATGGATGAAAACATCGCCTTCCACGACGTATTCGGTGACAAAGCTGCGAGACACACATGAGTTCACATGTCATACGACAAATTGTGGATCATCAAACTCACCTGTAACCCCACGCATTCATCGGTGGTACGATATCCCCCTGGGGCAGCGCCGCGCTGGACATGACCCGGGCCGTGACGGCGGACCTCGTCCCGGCCTCGGGGATATCACGAAACTCCAGACGCCACGGCTGACGGGCATAGTCATATTGGTCTGCTGGGGGCGGGTTGGCGTCATCGGTGGTGTTTGTCATGACCGTGTCGTCGGGGCCAGGCGGCGCAGCGGCGGCGCCGCCAAAGTCCCTCTCCGAGACGGAGCCGACCACCTGGGTGTAGAACATGCCCCCATTGAGCATCTTATTCAGGCGCTGTAACTCGGCCGATTGCAGATCCTGGCTGGCTCCCGTGCGCACCGTGACCAGGCCCGGTTTGCGGTAGGCCTTGAAGATCAGCCTGCGCTCCAAGCAATGGCGAGGCTGCATAGCCGTCAACCCGGCCAGCTGCTGGAGGAGCTCATGACGCTGGTGCACCGGGACCGAGGCGAACAGCAGCAGCTCGTGCATGGTTTGTCTTCTGATTCTTATTGAGGAACGGACCGGGGCGGGCGAAGCCGGGACGGGTTGGTTAATCAGGGTCCAAGCTCTGCTGGGGTGGCGCGATCATCAATGTTTATCAGGTTGAATAATCAGGACAATTGGGTAATGGCTTCCGAAAGGTGGTGTCAAAATCCTCTGGGCGCAAGGGCCAGGAACAAGGGTTGGGCTGTGTGGGCCCCCTGTTGCCCCTCGAAGTTAGACTGTGAAAGGCTAAGTGTTGTCCTCCCGCAAAGTGGGTTTGGGGGGGAACAAAAGAGTGTACAGTCCGTCAGTTAGGTACTCCGACTGCGGGGGGCACACAGGATTCGCCAGGCAAGATAAGAACTGAGCGACATGCGGGGAGAGAGTTGTGTCGGGCGGCGCCGAGTTCCAATGACAACGAACCGTGACTAAGGACTCATGGCGTGGCTCTCGCGGAATCTCCCAATGCGGTAAGCACGCTTCTTATCGTTCTTCCTTCCTCCAACATAACTCCTCATTCTTCCTCTTCCTCTTTTCCTTCTTCTTCTCACCCATTCTCTCACTCTCCCTTCATCCCATCCAACTCCATCAATCCCACCAAGTCTTTCCAATCGCTCTTTCAATCCCAGCAATTTCCGCCACTCCGGCTCTCACTCCTCCGTCCTCCGCTCGGTCCGGATAGCTCCGACCGGCCCCCGTCGAATTTCGCACAACCCGCGTATTTGACCTCGACACAACCACCTTCCAACTTCAATCCACCTCCAACCTCACACCCCCATCACAATGCGTGCTACTGTCGCTCTCCGTAACGCCGCCCGGACTCCCCTGATCCGGTTCGTGGGCAAGCGCTCCGTGCCTCGTAAGTAGCTCCCAGCCGCCGACCCGGCCGATATCGCTCCCAACTAACACCGTGTAACAGAGGCCGTCGACCATTCTCCTCGCGTTCACCCCGCGTCTCCCGCCGGTGCGCTCCCGGACTCGTTCGCTACCTACCGCGTCAAGGCTCAGCAGCACGGTCCGCTCGGCCGCGCCCAGTCCAGCGGCGCCATTGGTGGCCAGTCGGGCGCGTCCCTGGGTCCAGTGCACCCGCAGACGGGCGCGTTCTTCGATCGCACCGACCTGCCCCCGCGCTTCGGTCGTCTCCCCTGGAGCGAGGCGGAGATCGAGGCCGTCGAGACCGGAGGTGCTAGCATGTTCGCCTAAAAAATTATGAATGAGCGATACGGGGCACGATTACTTTTGATGATAGAAGTTGCGATCTGAACGAATGTCGCGGGACGCTGCTGCTGGTGCACGGCGATTCCTGGTAAGACTTGGAAGCATGGAAATGGGTCCCAATCACCTCGAGCGAGCGAGGGGCTGGGGGACCCTGGAGAATCACACCGGCAGGCGATTCTCCCGCATAGAAAAGGACGGTTTTGCCTCCGGGCGGGGAACGTCCTTGCGACTCTCTTTTGTCTCTTTCTTTTCTTTTTGTACCTGGCGCTGGTGGTCTTTCTTTCTCTGGGTGTTTCAAAACAAGCGTGCGAGTGTACGGCCAGCTTTTTGTCGAAAGCGGGATACAGTTCTTTCTATACATAGATCGATTTTCTGGCTGGTTAGGGCTGGGTTTGGATACATATTATACTACTCTATTCTCTACTACTTTCTCCCGGTACGTAGCTCCCCCAGTCAGTACCTGCAGTAGTCCCCTTCGGTGTTCACTATGGGGATGGCCCGTGCCCAACCACTTGGCCTCTTCATCACCTCGCCCCAACCATTAAACAGGCATCATCATCATGGATCCGTCCGCGGGCAACCGGTTGACCCTCCGGGAGACTGACGAGGCTGATTCTGTTACCACTACTTTCATTTATTCGGAGCAGGATAATGTGGCGTCGAAGCAGCCCACGGGTCGGGTGGATGTCATGGTGAGCCGCCATTCCCTTGATTTGATTCCAAGGACCTGTTGTTGGCGATTGCGAATGTTTGAACCCCAGTGTTTCTGTATCCAACCAAGTCTTCTTTCCTTTGGATTAGTAGATATACGTTCATCTCATCAATTGCATCCTGGCTCTCAATGATCATCTAATTGCATCGCCAGGATTCATCCACCGCGGCCACCACTTCAAGGCTCGACCAGCCACTGATCAAATCGCTCAGCGATGTCTTTCTTCCATCCGGGTATCCGCATAGTGTGAGCGAAGACTACCTCCCGTGAGTGTGCTCTACGAACCACTAGCTGTGCCTTACGCTTATACACCCACTAGATATCAAATCTTCGTATGTTCTTAACGTCTCGCAACCCACGCCGTCTCCACTAACAGACCGAATCAAGGATTCACTACAAGCGTTCTGCAGCTCCATCGCCGGCCTCTTATCCTCCAGAGCCGTGCTACAAGGTATACTCCCCACCACCACCACCACCACCACCACCACAAGATATCAAATGCAAGAGCAACCCCAAATAACAAAATGAACAGGAGTCGGAGTCGGCAATGCAGACGCCTCACCCACCTCTGCACTCCTCCTGCACATTCTCCAAGACTCCTCCGGCCGGATAGCAACAATCTTATTCGCGCACCGGGTGGGCACAGCCCTGGAACCAGAATGCAAGACGTACCGACTAGCAGCCGATGTGTTCAATGACATCGCCATGATTCTAGACTGTCTATCGCCCGGTGTCCCCGCCGGATACATGCGTGTGACTGTTCTCAGCACAGCGGGCGTGTTGAGAGCGCTGTGTGGTGTTGCGGGTGGGAGTTCGAAGGCGAGTCTCAGTGCGCATTTCGCCAGGTGGGGGAATTTGGCGGAGCTTAATGCCGTATGTATATCCTTTGGAGACTTTTCATCGGGAGGGACGGGGAATTGGCTAATAGATGTGTATGTGTAGAAAGATTCGTCGCAAGAGACGGTTATTTCGCTGGTTGGGATGCTGGTATGTTTGAATCCCCCAATCACCAATTATAAACACGTCTTTAATGAAGTTCTCAGGTTGGTTCTCTAGTCGTCTCCCATGTTACCAGACTGGGAACTACATGGGCAGCACTCCTCTTTCTTCTCGGGGTGCATCTGAGCATGAACTACGCAGCCGTGCGAGCCGTGCAGATGACCAGCCTGAACAGACAACGAGCCAACATCGTCTTCTCAACGCTCCTCAGCTCAGACCCAGATCTGAACATCGAAGCACTCCGCTCTGGGTCCGGCTCTACAACTCAAGAAAAGAGAAAACGTGTCTCGAGGTCATCATCATCGAAAACCACCCCCGAAAAATGGAAACTCCTCACGCCCGCCGAAGTAGCAGAGCAAGAACGCATCTTCCCCAGAGATGGAGCCCTCGAATGGATCTCCTACCAGCCAGAACAACAGCAACAGCCCATAAAACAGAGTATAGGCAGCGCAGCCATCGGTGTCTCCTTGCCCACATTTTTCAGGAATACCAATACCAGCACCACAAGCACGAATGTATCATCGCCATCATCATTCAAAACATCCCTCCCAATGACCCAACTATCCACCCTCTTTGAAGAAGAAGCATACCTCTTCTTTCTGTGTCCATCATCATCTTCATCCTCATCGAAGAAAGGAAAATGGCACGCCTCGATCCTACTGAAGAAGGGCTGTTCCAAACCGGATCGGTTAAAAGCGTGGGCGCACGCACTGCTGGCTGTCTGGGTTCTGAATGGGAAGAAAGACGCGAGTGATCATGCGCAGGTACTTGGTGTTGTATCGCGCACTTTGGCGTTCATGTCGGAGCAGTCTCGCCTCGAGCGGTATCTAGCGGCTCTAGCTGCGGCTGGGTGGGATCTGGATGTTGCGGCTTTGGAGACAAGTGGTGGGAGGCGGGTTTGTTTTTAGATCTCTGGTAGGCTAGGCGATGGAGCTTGCATTAGGTGCGTGGGCTTTGGTTTCTATTGCGGTATATGGTATATGGTAGGAAGTATATATGGGCTCTCAAGGTCGGCCACGTTTGTTCGCTGTTGAATATAATGGGGAGGTAGGATGAAAGGATCTGTGCGGTTGACACCGACAAGAAGAGAGTACCTACTGTGTAAATTACGCAGAGACCCAGTCAAAGTGAAAGGGGTATCAAGTCTATTGATTCCAAAAAAAGGTCATGAGAGCCAATTATAAACAACAAAGCCCTGCGCTGCAGCACAGGACTAGCAGGAGGGAAGAGGTTGGAGAAGTTGGAGAACCGAGCCCCAAAAAATCAACGCCAAAAACAAAGTCTATATGATATGGATGATGATGTTTTGTTGTTCCCGCGCCCATGCGACACAACATGCTCAGAAGAAAACAAAAACGCCGGGATCAAATGCTTTGGTGAATGCATCGTGTCACTCGTACACCGCCAATAGAAAAATGCTCGATATCTAAAAGGCTGAGAATCCAGTCGCGGAGGATGAGAGATGCAGTTTCGGGTCATAGGTGGGTTTCATGCAAGAGATAGGTGAAGTGAGGTAAGGTGAGGTAAGGTGAGGTGAGGTGAGGTGGGAGAGAAGATAAAAGGTCGTAAGAATTGGTTGGTGGTGGCGTGGGCTGTTCAAAGTTGATCGTCCACCCCCAAAATCTTGGGATCGCGGCTCGCGCCACCGGAGCGCTTCTTGAAACCCAGCTTCATGCCCATCTTCTTCCACGGGTTATCCGTGCGGGTCCTAGGGCTGACGGGCAGGTTGGGTTCGTTGGCTGGCGGGGTGGTCGGCGGAGTCATAGGAGTTATAGGCTCTTCCACCGTTGGGCTACACTGCGGACTGCTGGAGTCGTCGGTGAGGCTGGACTCGGCGCTGGCGCTGGAGAAGGGACCCGAGGCGCGCTTTCCAATGGCGTGGTGGACGGCACTCAGGGACAGATTGGAGCGACCGGCATGATGGCCGTGGACCGGGGATGAGAGGTCCTTGGTCGATGACTGCGGCGATGTCCGCCTGGGCCGCGAGCGTACGCGCTTGACGGGGTTTTCATCCAGGGATGAGATGGACAGGTTCATGTGGTCCTCTGGCCCTTGGGGCGGGTCGGACAACGGGCCGATGGACGGTGAGGCGGCTTGGCTGTTCAAGAAAGGTAGGAAGATCGACTCCTCCATCAGATCGTGAATACGTTCGACGGCCGAGTCGAGGGTTTCGGGCGGTGGGGGCGAGGAGATGTTGATGTGACGCAGGAGGGCATCGCGGACTTCGCTCGACAAATTAATCTCTCGTGGGGCGCCGGGGAAGATGTAGGCTGTGAGGAGGCGCTGCCACAGCATACGGAGATGTTGGCCCTCGGGGCTGTTGGGGGCCAATACGACCTGACCGCGTTGATCGAGAGCATTGTAATAGGTGTCGCGATACCGTTTGGCTTCCAGGGTGAATTCCAGAGTTTCGAGACAGTGGTTTTGTGAGAGATAGGCCATGAATGCACTCAGGGTGTAGGGTGGAGGAGCGGTGTTGGCCAAAACTTCTTTGAGGGTCGGACGCATGGGACCAAAGGCTCCTACCGAGACGGCCAGGCTGACCGGTCGGGAAGAGGAGTCCATGTCCTCGTCCGAGTCGCTGTCGGAGGAGGTAGGAGAGAGTTCAGGGGTGGTGGTGGGTGTAGACCAGAGAAACCTCTTCCTGAGCATCGTAGAGGATAAACCAAAGGGTGGTTGATAATGGGGTGTAGGGGGGAGGTGGAAAGAGGAGAGAGAGCGGGAGACGGAGAGAGATTAGTGGTGGTGATGATCCCCCGAGTAAGAGCGGGAAGGGGCTTAATTAGTTCAGAAAAGGGACTCCACTGATTCTGGAATCAGTGGATCGACAGGATGACGAGACAGTCTGTAATAGACGATCGGCGGAGCAAGGGGGAGGCACAGTGACGGAAGGACAGGAAGAAAATTCCTTCTGGAAGGCGACCGTTATTACCCGTAATCCGGTATTGTCCAATCAGGCCCAGTCGCCACTCCGTCTGGTGTCGGAATGGAGACCCACGGTTCCCACGAATAAGAGTCTCCCTTGCGTGATGATAGGAAGGAAAAAAATCATCAGCACGTCATTTACGAGGAGGGTTGGCCGGTAATCATAATACGAATGATCGTGTAGTTGCAGGTGTAGGATGCAACGCCCGGAGACGGAAGTAGTGCCCACTCCTTCTCTCCTTTCTAGAATTCTAGAAGCATTCTCTGTCCAGCGCCACCTCCAGGGCACAACAGAAGAGTAAAAAAATGTCACGAAAAGGAATTCAATTCCTATCCGGCAAACTTTTCGTCTTGCCACCCCACGAGATTGTACGATAGGCTTCTATTGATCGAGAGCGGGAGTACCAGTGGGGTCTGGCTGATAAAGAGAAAAAAAACCCCCCACTGTGTGTCACCTGTTGATTTGTACGGTATTTTGGGGGTCCACCGGCGCGCCCGGAGAGGCTGAACAGCCCCAGAGGATCGGTCGGGCGAGATCGATAAGAGTCGTATGAAGGAAGAATGTAACGACCGATCTGGGCTTACCTCGACTGGCCTGGGACGTAATGTAGGTTACAGAAACCCATGGGAAGGAGAAGTCTTGGCGGCCGCAAGTCTATCTAGTACTAACTTTCTGCAGCAATAATCTAGAGACTACATACGACCTACACTACTTACTACCCGGCAGGAATGGACTCGTCCGGTCCAGACAAAGAGAAAAAAGTTGGCTGCAGGAATGATCCACAATTTTCCCGAGGTTAAGCGTCTAGGAAGGGCCTGCTGGATCCCCCACATCGTGTGGATTCGTGCAACGACGTTGGACTCCTTTGGCGCCGAGGATTAGCACTAGAGTCGGTTCCTGGCAGTCTAGAAGTACGGGGTAGCGTCGTAGAGCTAGCCTAGTGTCTCGTTCGAAGGGAAGTGCAGAATGAACGATTGTTGAAGAATGGGAAAGGGGTCTAGACAACTCCGGCGTGGGGGGGTTTCTGCATATGCACTTTTCTTCATTAATTTGGGCCTAGTAGTGTAGTAGTAGTATTGAACTTTGTTATTCTTAGATGGACTCTGTCTGTATACTGGCCAAGTCTCAGTTACCCCTGAGCTGTACATACAGAGATTAGCTCCTGCAGAGAGTATCTGCCCTGGTGCCCGATTGGATTCAGACCACAACACCACCCGCCCAATGAGACTATTTTTCAGTTTTCCGTTTGACCAAGCGATTACCCTCGCACACCATCAATAATCTATCCTATCTCGACCAGACCAGACCCCACAAACTCATCAAACACAAACTTCACACGGCCCGGCAGAAGCCGCAGTGAAGTCATCGGCCCCACAGCCAATCTTGATTTCCAATGGAGAAGCCGCTTTTTAGTAGCAGGCGTCTAGATTTGTTTCAGCGACCTTGGCTTGGTGGTGGAAGAGGGGTGAGGCAGGGTCCCGGATTGGCTGCATCGGTGCCTAACTGTTTCCTTAGCGTATGGTATCAGCAGCCAGTCTGCCCGCTGACTGGACACCGCCGGCCGGCGCTAGTTTATTCGCTGCACCTCCCCTGGTCGGTCCTGGTCGGTGGGCGTGGTGGACGCGAGAGATCTGCGTTCTAGGGAAGGTGGGGGGCCTTGGGGTTGTTTGGATGGTACCATCGGTGTCGTGATTGATTGTCAAAAGGCACGGAGGACGCAGTGTTCGAGGGAGTTTCATTTTGCGCTGAGGTGGAGCGGGTTATTCTAGTCAGGCAGAGCACGGCGCTTGGAGCTATTGGTTGCAGCTACTACTACATGCGACTCCTTGCTGCATTTTCCCTTCGATAATTAATGTATAACTGCCTTATACAGTATTCCCTAAGCACAGGGACATAAGTTCAACCCCAGTCCGGCCAGGATATCCATGCGGGGACCAATTGGCCGCCGGTACGCCCCAGCTTGGCAAGCGGACCAGCCCCCGAGCGGGGAAAATTCCGTCCTAACTGGCGAGCACGCGACGCATTGAGTGACATGTACTTTCGTCTCAACAGTAACTGGGCTGGGCTAAACGCAAACGGGTATTCGATCCGGGGATGGGCAGGCCTGGTGGTGTGGCACGGGCTGGAGATCAGGTCGGGGTAGATATTCTTCGGTAAAGACTAGTAGAAGAAGGTCCTTAGATGCTGCACTAATAATTGCACAGTACAGTCTGGTAGTATACATAATAGCTCACGATTGGATGACCTTTCGGCGGTAGCCCCATATCCAGCAGGTCCCTGCACGGTTGGATAGAACATTAGGGCCCAGTATAACCATGGTTTATCCATGTTCGACCAAAGATAGACAAGAGGCAAGTTGATCATCCGGCGCATGGCCCCCCTCCCTCCATCCCTCTCCATCCCTGCATGCCATGGCCGTCGGTTCGGGCCCGGGATTGGCTCGGATGGTGCGGAATTGCCTTCGAGGACAGACACAAACTTTTTTGTCTTTCTTCAGTATGTATGATCCTCGGAGGGTAGATACCACTCGTGTCCCCAAGAATGCGTCATGTTATGCCGGTTGGAATACGGTGTGGCGACAAGCATGCCACGGAAAGCCTACATTCCAATGGTGAAGTTTGTTTGGACTCGCTTATACGGGGGTATTCCAAGTCAGACAGGGATTAGCAGACTATGACATTGCAGAAGCCGATGTGCAGAAGCTGGTGCCAACACATTCCTGGGGTTGGGATGGAAGATGGTTCTCTGTGCGCTGTTCGTGAGATAACTACTGTATAGATATATATCGTGGAACATTGAATCTGGATTCCAGAAAAAGGGCACCCAAAGGAGCCAACAAATAGAAAAACATATCATAGGGAGTGCCCTGTTGTAGACTCAAGATATATATATGCCATTGTTGGCTCTACACCGTAGACTCCATATGATAAGGACATCCACAAAAGGAAAACATGAGTGGGTGGTATAGTCTCTTTCTTATCCGTTTTGCCTGCAATTATCTTACATGATTCCATTCCCTTTTGTTTTGGAAAGGATCGAAGATCCGTCATCAGGCACGGCACGAAGCATTTTTCGAAAGAAAACGGAGCAGCGTAAAAGTGGAAGACCAACCAATGGTTTCACCACATCTCAAAGAGTCGAGCAGCGTGCAAAGTGGGACGGACAATAGGTTTGGAATGTCAGTAGTTGGTTTGTAGGATCATCTACTTTAAGTAGACATGATAAACCCGACCCTACTGAGATAGCACTGAGTTTTGAGATATACCGGCATATTGTCGACCTTTCTTCGTGCCCTTGGTCCACTAGGCGACATATGCATGCTTTGACTATTCTAGCCAGAGGTGCAATCGCCATCAAGTCAAAGAGGACTTCCTTCTACTCACTCATTATCCTATCCAATACTCACGAAGCTCGACGACTCTCAGCCAGCAGGTCATCTCTTGAACACTTTATATAGGCCGTAGGGAATGATTAAAGAGAGAATAAGCAAAGAAAAGAAAAAGAGGAATGCTATCTTATGCGACACACTAACAAACACACAAGCCGCTTCTGAAAAACAGAGCAAGGCAGAAAAACAGAGACAATTATAAACACAGGCAAATAGATCGATGGATTGGAAACAGCGAGAAACACAAGGGTACAGAGGCAGGGGAATCGAGGAACCGGGAGAATATATGCAAAGATACGGTCTCAGCGCAGCGCAGCAGTAGACTGGACTGTCCCTGCCACACCGAGACAGATGAGGTGGTGGATAGAAGGGGAGGTCATGAGAAGAAGCCCGGGAAACCCAACAACACAAACAACATTAGGCCTGTTCGCTCTGCTGATAAACAGAGCGAACAACACACAGACAGCTCAACCCAAGACTTGTCTGTCTCGGCAAACAAACTCTTGAATTGACCAGCGGGATCAAACGACAAGGGCATGTCCGGATCGGACTCGACACCACCTGCTCCTCGCCGCGAGTGAGATTCCGTCTTCAACCCTCTATTAAAAAAAAAGAAAGCACCAGTGGACTCCAAATTCCCCGAGCTGATAAAAACAAGCAGCATGTGTTCAATGCACGTTGACGGAGTATCAACCGCGGAGAGCGCAATAAACTCGCAGAGGATGAGTTTTCGTATTAAACAGGTGCAGTCGCCGAGCCATAAGTGACACAGAGCGAAGAAAAATAGAGAAAAAGAAAAAGACAAGACAAGAGATCTCTCAAGTTCGTCGCTCCGAAGCCGTAGCACCATGAAAGAGTGATGGGACGTAATATCAATGGGAGAGGTAAAAGGTTGTTCCTACCCACCATCGCTTGGTGGGTGAGAAGGGTCGAATGGGCGGAAGAAAGATACAAGGGGTTTTTGGGACGAGAGGCAGTGCATGGTGAATGCACTACCTACCAAGGCGTCCATGCGTAAAGAAACGAGGGAATTCCCATGTCGACATTCGGCCGTATTTTCGACATCAAGGGCAGAAAAACAAGTGCGCCGTCACTTTATCTGCCCTCGAGTTCAACCTGAATCTCGAGAGTGAGCAGGCAAGCGGATGAGAATCACATTCAGAAGATCACCTACCACAGCACAGAGCCTTCATCACCTTCTGGATGAATGTGGGTTGCGAGTCATCGTTCCCTTGAGCACCAGAAGCTTGATTGCCCATCCCCTGGTTGGCAGGGCTGTTTAGGCGCCCTGAAAGGTGCGCATTTGAGTTTTGGAAGTGCGCCTGCGTTGATGTGGCCGGGGTTGATGGCTCCATATTCCCACTGCCGCGTTGCTTGGAGGGCATCCCGACCCCGGGACGGTCGCGCGTCTTTCCGGCTCCCTTCGCTGGAGAGTTTGGGGGCGGCGGCTGAGGTGCGTTTAAACGGTCGGCCGTCATGCCGGGGCGTTGGCTGTGGCGAATGTGGTCGCGGCTCGTCGAAGTCTGGTGCTGGTTGTGAAGATGCGCTTGTGACGCATACGATTTGTAGTCCCAACCGCGTCCGTTGTTCAGCTTCATCCAGTCGTATTCCCCGTCCTCCACCTCGCCGGCGTTCTTGAGGGATTGCGTCAGGAGGTCCCGCAGATAGTCGTAGTCGGGGGTGTCCTCAAAGCCAAGGTTGCGCACATAGCTCAAGTACTTGTTGAACTCTTCTATGGCCGCGTCATCAGTATAGGGTCATGATCATAAACGAGGGAAAAAAAACATACCAGGATAGCCTTCGCATAGCTCCTTGATGGCCGTTGTTTGTTTCTTCTCGCCAATTTTCTCGTACTTTTGCTTGTTGGTCGCAGCCTTCAGTCCTTGCCAGGGAAGGCCGCCCCGCAAGAAGTACATGAAGACGTGTCCAAGAGCCTCCAGATCATCTCGTCGTGATTGTTCACGTCCCAGATGGGTGTTGATACTCATGTACCGCGCAGTACCAGACAGAGACTTGCGCTCACGGTAGGGAATGTGCTGCTTAGTCTTCGGGTCGCGATATTGCTTGGCCATGCCGAAGTCAACGACGTGGATGACGTTGGCGGCCTTGGTGGATGGCCGGCCGATAAGGAAGTTGTCCGGCTTGATATCGCGGTAGATGAGGTTCTTCTCGTGAATCGTCTGAACCCGCGAGAGCATTTGCTTAGCCACCATCACAACGGTCTTCGTGGAGAACCGGCGGTTGCAGTGGTCGAACAGATCCTCCAGACTGGGACCAAGAAGGTCAATGACAAGGATGTTGTGTAAACCCTCCTGGCCAAAGTAATAGACGTTGGGGATGCCGGCTGAGAGACAATTAGCAACATGACACGCTGAGTGTGCGGAAAAACATACGGCACCCAACCAAGATCTTGTATGTGCGATACTCATCACGGAGCTGAGGCGCATCGCTTTTCCGAGGTTCCTGGTACGGTCAGACGGATCGGGAGTCAGGTAAGTGCAAGGAGACGTACGAATTTGATGGCCACCTGCTGGTTGTTGAGGAGGTTCGTGCCTTCGAAGATGACACCGAACGAACCCTCACCGATTTTCTTGCCCACGCGGTAGTGGACACCCACTACGTTCGACGAGGAGGACGCCATGGATGTAGTTCTCGGGGTTGAGACCCAAGGAACCCGACTCGCGCGCTAATAATGATGGCTTCGAGGATACCGGGCACGTGATGGACACTATTATTCCACGCGGACGCCGTCAGCACGAGGTCGAGGAGAGAATGGAAAGGAGTGGCATACGCCGCGAGAAATATCTGACACCAAAACTAGTGTCTCCAAGAATCCAGTCACGCTCTCCTCCCACCGGGGTAGCGGTACAACGTGAAACTTGGACGGTGTGAAGGGACTGGCGAGCCGAAAGCTGCGACAGCGAGACGGATGCAATTGAGAGTGCTGCGTAGGAATTGAGGTGGTCGGCGGTCCTTTTTGACGGTCGGGGATGATCACAACTCCGGGGTGAACGGGTCGAGAACAAATGGGGGTGGACGGGAGGCGAAATTAATACACGCCACCGGGAGAAAAAGGGGCAGGGCAAGAGCAGCCGAGGGACTCGACCAAGTGCTGGTATGAGCACCAGTGAGTTGCCAGAGCAGGTTGGAACGAAGACGAGAGCACGAGAGAAGGGGGGAGGGATGGGGAGAGACGAAAAACGGGGAGAAAGAGAAAAGCAAGAAAAGAAGAGAGGGAGAGAATTGGGGGAGAGTGCAGGGAGCGAGTATCACCGATGTATTGGTTACAAGTGATGGGGGGCGCAGCGCGGGAACTGGCGGTAAAGCGATGGTATTACAATTACCAGCACCAGCCATTGGCAAATAATAGCGGTCAGATCCTCTCTAACTAGGTTGCCTGCACGGCTGGCGAGGCTCGGGCGCGTAGCAGCCGATCGGCTACTTTGCACCTGTACCCATTTGATCCAATCTGCCTATTGTGAATTATGGAGACAGGGAATCACAGTGGATTTTTCCAGAGCAATGTCCATCCAGGGGATCTACTGTGCCTGGTTGTCTGGACTCACGGTCCGGAATGCGGGTAACATTACGGTCTGGATCGCGCCAAGCCGTTATGATGGACAGTGAGCCCTAAGTCAGGTACAACTACCTACTCTATGGAGGTGCCTACTACAAGTACACTATTGGCTAGACAAAGCAATTCCTCTCATGATTTCCCCAGTTCGTCGATCCATCACGATCCGAATCTGACACGTCCACGACCCACTCCCACCCAAAAGTTCAGCCGGCTACTGTACACGTCCAAAAGAAAGTTACATGGCAGCTCCCTCGTTTACTCGTCCGGGTCATCACTGCCCTCCTCCTTGAGCAGGTCCTCGTCATCGCCATCGCTGACCTGGTCCGCATCCTCGTGGAACTCATCACCGTCCTCATCTCCCTCGCTGCTGGAGCCGCCGCTGCCTTCACTTTCCCCCTCACTGCCGGGGTCGTAGTCCTCTTCTTCCTCATCCTCCTGGTCCTCAAGCTCTCGCTGGGCCTTTTGCAGTTCGCTTTCCTCGTCACCTTCGGTCTTCGTTGCGGCGGCCTCGGGATCCTCGGCCTTTCCGCCATTGATATTGTACACTTTGGCGCGTCGGGCCTCGGCCAGGCTGGCGTCTTGAAGACCATGTCGCTTGATGTACTCGTCGATCCCACTGTAGTCGGCCTGGTCGATCATGGAGAACTCGAGTTCCTGTACATCTTCTTCGGTGCCATTGGCCGGCCGGGCCATGATGTTGAGGTTGAATGTGCGCTGGAGGACAGAGGTGTAGGAAACGGAGTCGATGGTGTCGAAGGAGAAGAACAGGAGAGGCTTTTTGAACGCAAACAGAATACCCGTAGAGAGGAAAAACAGATAGCCTGACAAAAACAAAATCAGCGCAGCTCAAGAAAAAAGACTAGATCGGCTCACCTTCTTTGCTGCCGCGGAATGCCTTGACGTGATATGCCTTCTCCTTTTTGCGGTGTGGCTCGGGCATGGCGCTCACAAACTGCCGCTCATCAGGACAAATGACATTCGTCTGAGCCATGTTGTCATTCAACACTTTCCGGATCAACGCCTCAGCCGTCTCGCCAGGGTTGTGGCCGACCTGTTGGCCCGAGCCTAAGAAAGCAGCTTTGGCTGGCCCATCGGCAACGGCAAACACTATGGCTTCGTATGATGTCTCCCCCTCTGGTGGAGGTGTGATCCCATCAGCGAACTGAGGGATGATACAGAAATTGAACTGTTTCTGCGTTTTTTCCGGTACAGGAAGGCACAGGGCATGTCCTAGCCACGACCAGTCGTGTTAGTCGCGACGTTCATATAGATGGCAATTGCATACTCACGGATTTGATTCAAGGGAACACCGAATTCCACCTCCTTGGTGGTCTGGTTCCTTGCCCGCAGGCAACTGCTCCCGGCAGTGATCTCAAGCGTGAGCTTCTTGCGCTGCGGCGCGGCGAAGGAAATATCTTGGACGTAAAACTGAATCGGCGCATCACCCTTCAGGTCGACTGGCGCCTGTACGGTCGCCCCGTTGGTGGTGTCGCCATTCTGCAGCTTTCGCTTTTTTGCGGCAGGGCCGTCGCTGGCCAGCGCGGGCGGCAGGGAGGTACTCGCGTTCCTGGCCAGCAGGTTGCAGGTATAGCGGGCGAGATCTTCGAAGAGAGGAGTATGTTGAGGGGTCGTGCCTATATTGACAGAAAAGAAAAAAGAAATAAGCAGTTAGTAGATGGCTCGCTAGGGGTGGGCGTGGGCGACGTACCGATCGCATCGTAGACTCGATTCTTCAGCGCGGGTTCGGTCGCGAAGGCCTCCTCAATGGAGGCGATCGGGGCAGACGAATTTATGGCAGCGAATGCCATTGCGACTACTATGTCTTGCCGAAGAAGCAAAAAGCAGAGCAGGGGGTGAGGGATGGAGGGGAGTTGTCAGAAGATGAAGACGCGGTCCAGTGGTTACGCTCCCTGGCCCCGAAGTATCCGCGCCAGCCCTCGGAATCGACAGACAGTGAATGGTGAATGACCGGACAATAGGGAATGAAATAAATAGAGTCTCAATACTAGAATACAGTGGAATTTATACACAAATGCTATTGACGAAAGAAATGATCGCTCAGTCTATTGAGCAGACTGACCCTCCTTCTTCAGTCTCATCCAGTTCTCAATGAACTCGCTCGTCTCCTTGTCCATAATCACATTCCCCTCGGCATCCAGCGTCTTCTTCTTCGCTTCTGCACTCTCTGCCTGTCTCTTCGCCCGCCATTCCCCAATGGGCGTTAACATCGCCCGGCTCTCGTAGTATTGCTTGCGGTAATCCTCCTCAACCTTCTCCCTCACGTATTCTGGATCATGTCGTGTCCGGAACTTGGAGTACTTGTTGCGCAGTTCATCAATGATACTGCTCGGGAAAGGCGGGTTGGCCAAAGATGGCACCCAAGTATCGGTATCGGCTTCCATGCGCGTAGTGTCCCATTGTCCGTCCTTGGCGGGGGGAATATTCTCTACCGGCCAAGGGATTTCGATATTCTCGCCCAATACATAGCGTGTAAATTTCGGGGTGGTACTATCCGGGTGTCGTTCGACGAAGGGCCCGGCGGCATATGCGTGTTCCACGATCCAGTCTTCAATGAGACCGGTATTGGGGTCTTGGAGCGCGATGACATGTCGGATATCGTCAATGGGCACCGGCAGGGAGTTGGTGACAATATCGGACTTGATTCCCATTGATGTTTGCATCCAGTCGGGGACAGCAACATCGGCCTATGTTTTTGAGAGAGCGTATTAGCGGGCGTTGGATCTCAGGAGGGATCGCAACAAGAGAAAAAGAACGTACCATGTTCGTGTTCTTGAGAAACACCATATCTTCCTCTTCTTTAACCCCACTGATCTCGCTGATTTTGCCCTTTTCTTTGCCATTGACAACACAGACTCGGTCTCCCGGAGCGAATAGGACGTGCTTCCGGCGCTTGTGTTTGGGAAGAGGAGGCGGCTGCACAAGTTGTGGTGACACGCCGCCGTAAGTGAACACTTCAAGACCCGAATCTCGCTTTGGAGCCAGCGGACCCTTCAACCAATCCTCCCGGCGGTTTTTCACGGCATCTTTCTTCTGTTGGGTGAGGGCCTTGTTGTACTCGACCTGCGCCCTGAACTGTTGCCTCTTGGTTTCTGGGTCTAGCTTCTTGGAATTCTTCAAAACTTTTCGCTGTGCCTGTTTCCGGGCAGCGGTCGTCCGCTGGATAACCCTCTGCATGGCGCGAGTGGTGGTGGCTCAGCGTAGACAGACAAGGACGGCGGAGGAGACTCGCGGACGGAGAAAATGGAAACGGGTCACGTGAACCGTTATATAAGCATGTTGACTGGCGACCAACTATAGAGGAAATGATGAAGCCAATTGATATTTCTGTTTCGTTTGAGACAGGTATTTGTGTGGCTACTGTCGGAACAGATCTTGCTTTGGAATGGTCTATCGTCCCCGGAGGATTGCATCCCATCTACTATGTAAGCCATAGTACAAGATTAGACCAAAAGCACAGGGATAGTTCCCAACGCTATACAGTAATAGGTTACAGTAGTACACATGATTCATGAATGAAACGCTAAAAAGGACAGATAGAATGAAAAGAACACTATTGCCTCAAACGCCGAGCCAAAACCCGTGTGTCTTCACTCTCCACCTCGTCCGACCACCCGCGGAACATTCTCGTCGACAGTCCCATCCTGAACATGAAGTCAATTTGAGATATGTTGCGCCCCTTCATTTCTGGGATCATCCACCAGGTCCCGAAAACAGTGAATACTCCCAGAGTAAAATAGATAAACCCCAGTTTACCACCCAGATCGGCAGCGTCCGAGTTGTAGAGGTAGGGCAGGACAATACTGAAGACAAGGCTCCACAGATCAGAAATGACGACACAGAGACCCTGGGTCTTGGCTCGCAGATGCAACGAGGAGGTTTCTCCCACGACTGCGAAGCAGGCGGGCCATGCGCCCATGGAGCAGACTACGCTGACAATCACCATACACGCACCAGCATACCTATTTTCAAAGGAGTCAGCTCTGTTAAGAGGATAATAGAAGAATTAACACGTACCAGGCAGTTGCGATGCCTGAGAAACATCCTGATATTCCCATGGAAAGCCATACTACTGTCGTGATAGACAGGGAAACCAAAATAAGCCGCCGACGACCAACACAGCTGGTCAGCCAGACTCCTACGCCGTTGCCAATCAAGGCTAGGGCAACCCCCAACACGAGCATCAAGAGACTGTCTTTAGCATCCATGCCTAAAGTCTGCAAGAAGTAACTGGCAGATGCCAGCAAAGAGGTCCCAAACAGAACTGGCATGGAAGCGCCAAACATGGAAATCATCGTGCGTCGCTTGTTCTCATCGCGGAAACAATCGCGGTAGGAGACCTTTTGGCCTTGGCCCTTCTTCTCGGACTCAATGGTCTCCTTCAGCTCTTCGAGGAGCTGGTTACTGTCCACCCTGGCAGTGTGCAGTTTCTTCAAGGAGCGGCGTGCGCGAGCTAGATCCCCCTTTCGAACAAGGTAGGAAGGGCTTTCGGGGAGAAGCACGGCTACCAGCAGCGGGATCGCCGAAAAAGGCCACATGGAATTGTAGGAAACCATGTATGCGCTGCTGGAAGTGCCGCCAGACCACAACAAGACAACTAAAGAGCCGAGCAGCTGGCCGATCATGTCGAAGGCCGGGAGGAGAGCCATCGCGGGGCCACGGAGGCTGGTCGGCACGGTCTCGGAGATGTATGTCTGCGCAGCGGCCAGGGCCATGCCCAAGGCGAAACTTTGCACTATCTCCGCAACGAGAAACACGACGCGGCGAGTCAGGACGTCTGCCGGCAAACTCGACAAGCACGTCACAGCCACTGCGACAGCAGATAGAACGCTGCCCACGGCTAACGGCCACCGTCGGCCCACTCGGTCCTGCAAAGACCCTGCTGCTATACCGCCTGCCATTTGCCCGATACTTGGGAGGGCATTCCAGAGCGACAGCCACAGTGAGGGGATAATGTAGTTGTTTTTGTTGGGACCAAACTGCTCGCCATAGTCTATTTGGAATTGTGGTACTGAGGGAATGGTGCCTACTACACAAGTGTCGTATCCCGTCAGAAGAAATACTGACAAGAGACCGAAGACATAGCCCACAACCCTGGGATATCGTCGGATTGTTTGTAGTAAGGATTCTTGCGATGTACTGTCGTTTGTCTTGGGCGTTTGGATTTGGTCAGTGGCGTTCTTTGTAGCGGGGTCGACGTCTGACAACTGGTACTCGCTATCGGAGGGTAGGTACTCAGAGGGTAGGTACTCAGAGGGTAGGTCCACGGGATCCAGTGGTTTGCCCATTGTATGAGGGGGGAACCTTTCTTCTTTTTTCTGGGGTGGTGTGGTTGGGGAGCGATCCCAGAGGAATTTATTGTCGATGTTAAGGCCAGTTTAACTCATTTTCAGCCCGCTTCAGGCGTCCCGTTGCTGTTCAGCGCTGAGGTTGTTATGTATAGCCGCCCCCAAAATAACAAAGGTGGCGCAGCTGAAGTATAAGCACATCCCCCTGATCTCTTCCATCGTCCTGCAATATGTTTACATTGTCCCTTGGACCGATGCCCACCCAATCCGCTCCCACTTCCCCATCAACATTTCATAGCACCTGTGCGCTCAAGTCGTGCCGCGTCCCACATCACATAACCCTAGCTACGGATGTCACATCGCATGTAGTATCCATACAGGTTCCTGTGGTCCCCTGCCACATCAGTTGTCCAAGCTAGGGGTGAGCGCTCTCCGTTTGCACGTACCTCCCAGTGGATGTCGTCAAAGATCTGGCTATACTTCTCCTTAGCGCAAGTGTGAATGCAGGCGTCTCCTCGACCTCCCAAGGCTCGAATAGGGGATATGGATGTTTTTAGGACGCCTCTAGAATTGAAGCACAACTTTGCGTGCTTGGAGGATCCGTGGCTGACAGAATTTCTGAATTTCGAGAAGGCCCTTTTCTTTTTCATTACAAAATGCGATGTTAAAACAAAGGTGACGAAGGACGTTGAAGGATCTGCCGGAGTGATAGATTATCTGGCCCTAGTAAGCGCCAACTACTGTTTACATCTGGTCATGATAGACATGTGAGTGGTAGGAATATCCATGAGATTAACCATCGAGGATTCCTGGTAGCGTTATTCCTTTTCCAGTCGCGGGACCAGGGATCTGTATGACGTGCTCTGCCTCTGTGTGGCATCCCTGAACATCAAGACAATACTTCATGTACAGTTGTCGATCATCATCCCTTCCCTGTTTCCTTTTAGGCAGCCCTTTTCAAAAGCCATCGTCTCTCTTATGGTCCTTCAATCCTTTATCACTTTGGCTTTCCGTTGGACATTGCCGTACCGACAACGGTTCCTGGACTCATGATTACCACTAATCCTGTCTGGGCACATTTCAGGACTACTATGACGCCAGTCCCTATCAATCTATTCTAAGGGCCATTTCTATCTCTCAAGTTACTGTCTTTCTACACGAACATCTCTATTCGCTCCTTCTCTCTCTCTATCTCTCTCTTACTATGGATGGCCGAAGACTCCCGTCCGATTACTTGGGTCGCTACAGCGGTGCGACTTCCTGTGTACCAGAGATTGCGCTCACTGATGTTCCAAAGACACCGGTTGGACCTGCCGTCTATGCAGCTGCCCCTGCTACAGGGCAAAGGCCAGAGAAGGAGCTGCCCAAAACACAAACACCACGGTACGACCCACGAAGGTGGTCCCTTCGTAAGAAGCTGATCGTTGCTTCCGTGGTCGTCGTGGTAATCGTCGTCACGATCGTAGGCGCTGTGGAAGGCGTCCGAGCCAATCGATACCCCGACTACACTCCCTTAAACTACAAGTTGGTGGATACGTACGAAGGGCAGTCATTCTTCGACAATTTTGATTATTTCTCCGACGAAGACCCGACCAAAGGTTTTGTAGTGTAAGTCATATTCCTCCTTTTGTTTCTTCCCAGCGGCTGACCCTACCTACTAGATACGTCGATGAAGGGACCGCCGAGTATCTTAACCTCACATTCGCTACAGATACCTCGGCGATACTACGTGTCGATTCTTCAACCCCGAATGCGCCGGATGGCCGCAACTCCGTGCGGATCGAGTCCAAGTCTACCTACGATACGGGGCTTTTTATCTTCGATATCCTCCATACCCCATATGGCTGCGCCACATGGCCCGCCCTATGGCTTACTGACGGGTACAACTGGCCTAATAACGGAGAGATCGATGTAGTGGAAGCGAATAACAAGGGTATGGAAGGCAACGAAATCACCCTGCATACAATCGCGGGCTGCTCGATGGACGTCAAGCGCAAAGAGACCGGGTCCTCCCGTTATACATCGTGTGGCGATGACACCCATGGCAATTCTGGCTGTGGTGTACAGGGAGATCCAGCTACATATGGTCCGGCGTTCAATAACCTGGGAGGCGGAGTAAGTATTCCCTAGTTCGGGTCCCTTCAATAGGCCTAAAATGACAATATAGGTATATGCTCTCGAGCTCCGCGATGCTGGAGTTCGCGCCTGGTTCTGGCCGCGAGACTCTATTCCGGGCGATATCACGAACGCTTCCGGAGTCCCTAATCCAGCTATTTGGGGTACGGCCCTAGCGGACTTCCCTAGTACCGACTGCAATATTGCTTCGCACTTCCGCAACCAGAGTATTATTGCTAACATTGATCTATGCGGCGAGCTCGCTGCCCAGCCTCAGTACTATGAGAAGCTATATAGCTGCCCTGGCACCTGCTCTGACTTCGTGGCCAATAATTCGGAGGAGTTTAATGAGGCATATTGGGAGTTTAAGAGTTTCAAGGTCTACCAGGCAGTATGAATATCTCTCGCTATGGCTTTTGGCATCTGTCATGATCTTGTTTGAGATTTGATTTGATGGGGTTTGGCTTGGGTTTGTTTTAATTGGCTTCGGAGTATACTTTGGGAGTTACGAGTTCCTCCTCCGATTATGTGTATCATACATTGCTCTCTGGCTAGATCCGGGTTCAACTTTAGAAGAAGGCGGGCCATAGGAGGCTGCCAAAAGACTTCACTTGTCTCCAATCCCCAACCGTACACCATCGAAGGTAAGCCAGCGTGCTAAGATATAAAGCTCCAGTCGTTCGAGAGGAACCTCAATCACCTCGTGGAGGCTCGGAACGTGCTAAAAAGCCAGTGTGGCTGCCTCAGGCATCCATGAAATGAGAGGTGTCAATTCGGTCGGCCTTTGGCTGGCAGGACCAAAGAAATGAAAAACAGCTGTGGTCGCAGGTTGTCGGAGAAATCTACGGTCCCTACTGATCGGTGCCAGCACGGAAATGCGGGAAACTCCCGGAACGATCGTCACTGGACCAATTGAGTCCAGTATTTTTGACGCTGTCATTAGTTGGGGCAGGCAAGCATCTCAAGTACCGTCGCACGGGGTCTGGCCCCGGAGCTGGCGATGGTGGAGCAGAATTGGCCGTGCCGTACGCAAGCCGGAACACAGGCGCGCACGGGCAGCAGGGCCGTTGCTGGAGCGTCGTAGTAGTCTATCTCCTGCAACCACTGGAATTAAAACGGGAGCTGCCCTATTTGGAGTAGCTCGGAACCTCTTCGGGAAAAAGAATCAGGGAAGCTCAGAGAAGGCAGGGTGAGCCAGTAGTAGCCCCTGTGTTGGTTTTTTTCTTTCTCCGGTCTAACCGAGGCCAGATGTTCGAACTCAAAACAACCTCCCCAAGACAGACAGAACAATGACGCCCGGATGAAGGTTTCCATAGCTCCAGGGGATGGACATACCCTGACCTCATGGATGATATCAGCGCACCCAATTGGTATGGATGTGCATTTCCCACGGAGTAGTCTGCAGCACGTCCAACAGCCACGGTGGCTGTGTTGTCTTCCCCCCTTTGTCTGTGGGCCTGTGACCGCGGATGGGGTCTCTGCTGGGTCCGCTCAGCCACACGTACTTCGCCAGGGCTGGAGCTGGGTATTGGTATTACCAAATTCTGATGTTAGGCGGCGGGTGGTGTTGCGCCGGCGGTCTCCCTTGGGAATACATCGAAAGGGGAGGAAATAGACACACTGTGGTAGATAGAAGAAGAGGAAAACTCCAGTGAGTGAAATCGCCCGGCGGAGAAGATCAGTAGACAGTCGCCCAGCAGACAGGGGCATCAGCACAATACGGGTATAACAGGGCTGGTACCTGAGTAATCAATACACCGCCCTCGCTGCCTGTCTGGCCTGGACAGTCAGTCAATCAGTATCTTCTCCTCCAACACATCTTCCTCTTCCTCCCCCTCCCCATCGGTGCTGCCATCTTGTTCCATCTTTCTTGCTCAGTGCCCTCTTATCATCCTCTAGACCTTATCCTGCGCCCGCTGCGCTTCCTCCAGTTACTGTACGTGCTCACTCTTTCCCTCGCTTCTGCAAAACCCCCCCCCGAGAGTTGACTTGTCCCCTTCCCATCAACAATCATCCCGTCCGCCCGCTGTGTCCACCACACGCCCTCCCCACCCCTCATCTTTTGCATTTTCGAATCACAGACTGCCCTGTGCAACTGCTGCTTGCCTTGATTTCCATACTGACCCCCTCTTCTCTCAGATGGCCGAGATTCGTCGCAAGCTCGTCATCGTGGGCGACGGTGCCTGCGGTAAGACCTGTCTGCTCATGTAAGTCCTCCATCGAACGTGTTGTCAACGTTGTCGCAGAGACTGACCTGGTTTCCCTAGTGTCTTCTCCAAGGGCACCTTCCCTGAGGTGAGATTCCCCTAACCCTCCAACCTGGATCAAAACAACCCCTCAGACCGAGGAACAAATCATCTGACCTTCCCCTCCTCCAGGTCTACGTCCCCACCGTCTTCGAGAACTACGTTGCCGATGTCGAGGTGGATGGCAAGCACGTCGAACTGGCTCTTTGGGATACGGCTGGCCAGGAAGACTACGACCGTCTCCGTCCTCTGTCATACCCCGATTCGCATGTCATCCTGATCTGTTTCGCCGTGGACTCGCCGGATTCGCTCGACAACGTCCAGGAGAAGGTCAGTTTACCCACTGGTTTTTACGAGAGATGAAGTGCTGACACCTTTTTGAAGTGGATTTCCGAGGTCCTTCACTTCTGCCAGGGTCTCCCCATCATCCTTGTTGGCTGCAAGAAGGATCTGCGCCACGACCCCAAGACCATCGAGGAGCTCACCAAGACCTCCCAGAAGCCCGTCACCCCCGAGCAGGTATGCCATCCCGCTCCAGTCTCCGTCCTCGAAGTTTGTCTAACGTGGTTTTTGCAGGGCGAGGAAGTCCGCAAGAAGATCGGTGCCTACAAGTACCTGGAGTGTTCCGCCCGGACCAACGAGGGTGTCCGTGAGGTCTTCGAGTCCGCCACCCGCGCGGCCCTGCTGAAGGCCAAGAAGGGGGGAAAGAAGCGGACTCGGGATGGGTGTCTGATCTTGTAAAGAACTAAACGAGCCGTCTTCATGGGCAGTCCGGTTGTGCTAGCGTGAGGTCCAGCCGCTCGGAAGCAATTTGGTTGTGAATTTCGTCCTGCACAGTTCCGCTGTCAGGGCATCCGGGGCAATTCCGAGCGGACGCGTGTGGGAAATGATTATTCTCTCTTTCTCACGGACGCGGTTTGGTCGAGACCTTTTTCCTTTTTGTCTCTGTGTGTCCTTTACTTCTTTTTTTTTACTCCACCTCTGTCGCCGTTGTTTTTGCAGAACTTGTGTCTAGGGAGGCGTTGTCTTCATCATAACCCCGTGGGCTTTCCTTTTTTCTCTCTACTTCTTCTCTCTCCCTCATTTTCTCTCTCTCCCTTGTTGTTTCTGTCACTCGCGCAGAATCCACAAATCCTAAAAAAAGGAGGAGCCATTGGAAGTAATGGTGGTTTGTGAAGATGGGCAACGTCTGGACGGATACTCCCTGTTTGTGATGATAGATGTGAACACCCCTTTTGCAGAGCCCCTCGATGTCTGTTTTCATTCCCCCTCACTCTTACCTATATGTTGTCGTGTTCAAGCCCTAATGCATGGAACTGCTGTGTTCTGTGGTCTACTTGTTTTTTACAGGTGAATACAAACAGTAGAAGTAGATTATTCCGTTGATTCTATTTATATCGAAAAGCAGAGGAATATATAACCACGCCAACTGTCTGTGCAAAACACTAGTATGCACTCGCTGATGGAGATGCAGAAAATCAGCGATTCAAGCTCAACAGCCCCTCGATATACCGCCGCGCATCCATCCCTAACCCCTCCGCTAACTTCGTAGGAGCTGTATCCGCAGCGCGAGACGAACCCGTCAGGCCCGATGAAGCAGATGCTCCACCCAAATCACGGAAGAAGCGGGCACCACTGCTGACCCGTAGATGGCTTGAAGGCGCGACGTAGTCACTTGATTGGCGGATGATGAATGCTTCCAGGGGCTCCGATGAAAAGGGATATAGAGAAGCAGATGGAGAAAGCGAGAACGTTCCCTGACCGTCTTCGCTTGCTATGGTGGATATGGCAGTTGACGAGGGTATAGACGGTAGAGTTGAGGCAGGGTTTGTAGCAGGATTTGTAGGCGAGAGGCGCACCCAGACGATCCACCATCCACGACTGGTTTTGCAGGTGCGTTCGAGTTCCTGGGGTCGGGAGCGGGTGTCGGAGTATGTTGTTAAGAGGCGTTGGTGGATGGCCAGTGATTCAACCCGGGACAAAGGGGGCGGGAAACCAGAGGGAGAGGGAGATGGAGATGAGTGGCGAGATGGAGAAGATTTGGGAGTCTGGGTTGGGTTTGTGGAGGTGTCCAGGTTTGGGATGTTGGGGATGGAGGATCGGACGGTCAGGTTTGATGGGTCGTAGACCAGGTCATACACGGGCTGGGATCGGGTAGAGAAGCGTTTGTTGGGATCGGGGATGTTCTCGGACTGGGAGATTCGTGAGGCGGCAGATGCAGGGGATGTGGAGACCAGCAATGGTTTTTGGAGAGGCCCGAGTTGGTGGTGGATCGTTGTGTAGAGAGATGGGTTGTTGAGCGATGGCGTCTCTGGGTCGAACAGGAAGGTGAACATGAACGGTCGATTCACATAGATCACGGCCTGCACCTTTTGCGTTTCGCCATCTGCTTCACCTGCTCGTCTGACATGGAGCGTCCGGTGCACAATGCGAGTCTTGGGCTTGCTCGATTCCTCTTCAGATCTTGGACTCCCTTCCTCTAGGTCATCCAGGGTCTCGAGATCATCCCGAGGACCTAAGACAAAGCGTCCCAGCACAATATTTCTCGTACTGTTTTGGGGGCTGCTTGCCTGTGGAGACCCAAGATCTGTAGACTTCTGGTTTGCTGTATTTGCTGGGGAGTTATCCACTAAAGCAGAGCTGCGAGGAGGCATCGATGCTGATCTGGGACCGAAACTCCATGCTGAGCCATATCCAAGACTCAGGTACTTCATGACTGTCTCCGTCCCAAACCCGCCACTCTGATCGTCTCCCTTGGGCGGATCGCTCGATGTATTGACCTCATCTTGAATGGGCTGTGGTGCAGCCATAACCAGCGGACGAGGTATGCCTGGCGTGAAGTTGCGATCAGGAGTTGAAGCCTGAGCTCCCTGAAAATCCCTAGAAGACGCCCTCCCCCGTGGTTTCCGTGATTTTCGGCGACGCATTGAGCTTGGATCCCGTCCAACTCCATACGCAGCATCTCCGAACCGGTAAATCCACTCCATCCAATGCGACAAGTTTGCCACGGAGGGCCTGGAGAGAGCACCCACACCCGAAAAGATGACACCATCGGTTGGTCGAGGGTCAGTGTCTGATCCGAGCCATTGGCCTTCATTCTCCACCTGCCGTGAGGGATCACCGAACCTCGAGACAATCAGATCGACCAAGCCATCAGTTCTGGACACAAAGTCCTCCAGCACCTCTCTTTCTCCGCTTCCCCATTCTTCTTCTCCCACCCCAACACCTAGCTCACCACCCGTGGAGAGCTTGATGGCATTATAGATCTCCACAATCGGATTTCCGGTCAATAGAAGCTCCCAGTTCCACGTAAACTTCTCCCAGAAGCGCTCGAGATACAGACAGAAGCCAGCTCTTCCCACGCGATCGTGGAGTTCTTTCAAGGTGCAGTCATGGTGGAGGAGGAATATTGAATGTGCGCGGCGCAGTTGCTGGATATAAAGAGGCGAAGGACCCATCTCCCTTGACGAGTATTGGAAAGTGCGTGTCTCCGAGCTCTCGGAGGACTGGTCGGCGGGAAGCCGAGTGAGGTCGATCGACTGGACGCATCAAGTTAGTTGCGAGCTGCGAGTTCGTGGTCCTACACCTACAGCGACAACCCACCAGTCCTTCTCCAGTTCCAGAAGAACAATGCGCGCCTTTTCCGTCTCCACATATTCCAATGGTTTCCCCGCCGAGAAGTTGCTGGAGAGAAATCGATCAGTTTGAATCATCTGCGGTCTCGGAGGCAATGACGCTCACCTGGCAAAGCTCACCATGCCCTGCGCCAGGCCTATCTGACGCAACCGTTCGTTCTTATCCCCCTCCGGCGCGGCATCCTCATTCTCCCCCGCATTATCGGCATGTTGTGAATGGGTCGGCCGCGAGGTGTAGAACACGATCTGGTCCTCTAAGGTCTCATCGGTGGGCCCCAGCGTCGGGTTGTAGATGGCTAGGAAGCCTAGGCGTGCCGGAATCACCGAGTCGAAGTCGCTTTCAGGCATCGCATCGTCCAGCAGCTGCACTTGAGAGAGATGACAAACAAGGAAAGGCGGAGGGCGAGGGAAACGACGTGGCTTATCGATAAGGATTCGGTCCTTTCCCCGTCGCGACAGCTTTACCTCGACAACAACAAGCCAAGCATGTTCCTGCTACGAGGCCCGGCCCTTGGGCTGTGTAGCAGACATTCGAACTCCAGATTGTATTCCACCAAAGCATACGACCCCCTGCGCATCCTCTTCTGCGGCTCCGATGACTTCAGCATCGCTTCTTTGAAAGCTCTCCATGCCTACCATCTCAAGCAACCGGACCGGATCGCCTCAATTGACGTCGTCTGTCGACCGGGTAAAAGGGTGGGGAGGGGGTTGAAGAAGATCCGCGAAGGTAAAATGGCCTCTCGACTCTCGCGAACGGTGAGCTCATTCGAATTAAACTTCTAGTACCGATCAAGGCGGCTGCCTCGGACCTCTCCCTCCCAATCCACGAGATCGATACCTTCACAGGATGGACGGTAATAACAATCCCACTCTATCGCAAGCACTGTACCTGACGATGTCAGCCTCCCACGTCTGTCAACCTGATTGTCGCCGTGTCCTTCGGACTCTTCGTGCCTTCGCGGTTACTGAACAGTGCCAAGTATGGAGGACTGAATGTACACCCGTCTCTACTCCCAGAGTATGTTTTATACAGCCTGCCTAAGCTGAAAATATTATTGACACTGATTGACCAGCTTCCGCGGCCCCGCGCCCCTCCACCATACTCTCCTCGCCGGCCGAAATAAAACAGGCGTTTCGCTCCAGACATTACACTTAAAGCACTTTGACCACGGCACAATCCTCTCTCAAACGCCTGCTCCGGGATTTGACGTTCCCAACCCTGAGTCGTGCACAGTCCCCGAGCTCATCGACGTGGTGGCCCCGAAAGGAGCACAGCTACTCGTGGACGGTATCAAAGAGGGCCTATTCGTTCCACCCGTAGTGGATGCAGGGTGGCGTGCCGCCCAGGGAAGCCACGATCTAATACACGCAGCTAAAATCAAACCGGAGGACCGGCACATCGACTGGACGAATTGGTCCTTGGTTAATATCAACAGACGCAGTCGGGTACTCGGGCCTCTGTGGAGTAAAGCTCTCGTCACTAGTCACCCTTCAGATAATACCCAGCCATCGTTTCAACAGAAACGAGTCATTCTTACGGAGATGGAAGAGGTCGACCCCCCCAAAGGCTGTGGCTCCTTCTCGCTGGTTCCTGGGTTACCGTTTGTGGGGGGTGGCCATCCTGTTGAGCCGCGGAAAGGAAAGGCCCTTTACGTTTTTACATCGGATGGCAAGGTCATGCGGATTAATCGGATGAAAGTGGAAGGGGAACAGGATGCAGAGGGCCTAAGAGCTGCTATCAAGGCGCGAATGTTTGGAGATCGAACATTCTTATCGGAGGGGATGGAGTTTGTCCCCTTTCGTAACCCTCTTGTCTAAATAGAACAGATTTCATGTGTGCGATATTGTGTACTATTGACTTGATACCATTCATACCAACCCCTTCCCCAGCCGAGAAGAGTCTATCGGATCGCCATGCCCGAATCTGAAACGTCAGTCATTGTTTTCAAAGAGCAATAGGGTTCATACCAATCTGCACTGCATGCCCGGTCATGGAGGCGTTCTTCGCAATCGTGACGTACATATCGGCGACATCTTCAACCTCAGCCTTCACCATACTATCAGTATTGTGGGCGGCTGTAGTCCGAAGAGCTGGAATAACTTACAAAACGTTTCAGGGTAGTCTTCTGGCGGACGGCCTCCTGCTTCTCAGGCGGAAAGCGTTGACCCTGGCAAGGAATGAGCAAGAGGAAGACAAGACTAAACGAAGATAGAATGAACCGACCCATTCGGTCATCAATAGACCCGGCAGTACCGCGTTGACCCGGACCTTGGATCCCTGGCTTTGAGCAAGGCATTTCATGAGGTGGATGACGGCGGCCTTTGTCACGGCGTATGGCAAGCTGCTACCACTTGGGGCGACGCCCTAAAGCAAGAAAATCATGTTAGATATGATCCGAGGGAAATATATTTGTGACTGGATAGACTTACTGCAGTCGAGGAGGTAATGATAAACGCACCACCCTCGGGATTGGCATTGAAAGTGGGCAAAGCAGCCTTGAATAGCCAGAGACTGCTCTTGACATTGACGGACCAGCACTACTCCGGTTATCAGTCCTGGATAATCCAAAAGTCTTGGAGAACACAATATACCTTATCCCAGTCGTCATCATCCATTGCGTCGAGATCACCGAAATTGGTCATTTTCGTCCAGCCCTTGCGCAATCTGATTAGCTTGAGAAGGATTATCTTCGGCGACTAAACGTACAGCGTTTGAGATGACAATGTCCAAACCGCCGAGTTGCTCGATGGTCGTCTTGACGGCCTTGACGCAGTCCTCTTTAACTCCGGCGTCCTGTTTATTGCGATATCCACGTCAGAGTCACCTGAATTCCACTCTGATCAGAGAAGACATACACCCTGAACGACAATAGTCTTCACATTGTGCTTGGCTGCAAGATCGGAGGCGACTTTGTCCGCCGTCTCCTTGCTCGACATGTAATTGATGGCGACGTTGCTTCCCTCGCTGGCAAACTTCTCGGCAACGAGTGCACCCAGGCCTCTATTCGAATTAGTGGTGGATTTCAAAAGAACAGGCAGGCAGTCATACCGCGAGCCACCGGTGATCAGAACATTGCGACCTCGTAGTGAGTAAGGCATGGCGGGCAATGAGTAGAGCGATATTTCCTTGGTTGACAATCGAAGGAGAAGAGTTGTACAAATATTAAATAAGGGATGAGGAGCAGACGGGGTTGGCGGGGCATCTGGCCTTGTATGCGATACGTTCAAACTGACTACCCACTGCGGCTTGATTCCGGGGTCGATTGCTACACATTGTCGGATGGGCCGAAACCCCACTCGGTATGTGGAGAGTATGACTACCTCGGCACTGATTTGAAGGGAATAATAACATATTTTTTTCAATTCTATCATGATTATCATGAGCTCATGAGATACATTGACCGAAAGCACTCAGTCCACGAGCGTGCCCGCATATCGAGTCCTCTTCATCCCCCACCACGCGCGCCGCCCGCCCAGTTTCGGCCACTGGACGAGGAACGTGTCGGCAAGAGGCAGCAGCAATTTCCCAGACATGCTCAGGGTGCTCACGCGAGCCCAGGACTCAATGAACACGGTTCGGAGCTTCGGCATTCCCGAATAAGCTTTGTAGAATGGAAGGAAAAAGTGTAGGAAGCGGAGGAGCTTCGCCGCGACGATCATGCAGACTGCCGTGGCGGGCCCATTGGTGAGGATGAGGTCCGGGTACGGGGAAACGAATTCGGTTGGGAGATGCTGCTGCTCAGGAAACTGCCCCCAAAGTACCATCAGGCAGGCCCAGAAGCAGTGCAGTGTGGAAAACGGAGCCGTCAGGTAGGACTGGTGGACCCGCCGTGCGCGGGGAACAGTGACGATGGTGTATGCGTGATTCGAAGTGGTTCCCTCTGCCATGTGGTTCGCTTCAAACTCCATTGCCTTTTGCGCGCTGAAGTTGTCCCCGGAGCTGACGACGTAGGTCCGATATGCGTATCGCGAGGGTTCGAGGGTCCACCGCCGGAGCATGGAGAACATCTCCGCCGTGTGGCCGCCGCTGCCCAGGACGACGAGCAGGTGGACATGGGCATCCTTGGGACGGCATTTACGGACGGGGGATTGGTGGGAGATTGTTAGGGAGAGCAGCAGGACCTAACAGAGTCAGTTGATGCTGCTGAGAGCAAGTCGTAGAACTTACCAAGACCGCGAGCACGCCAATAGCAGCCAGAGGCAGAGCGACCTGCAGGCAGAAGCTGAAGAAAGACATGAGGAAGGCCGCCATGGCAGGGACTGGAGATGTTACGAAGGAGGAGGCATGGTGAATAAGAAGAAAGAGTGCAATCATGTCAACAATCAAACAATCAATTGACTCGGCCATCCCACACGTGCCTGGAGTGGCCCGTGCCCTATAATTTGTGTTGGCGCATCATCGTCTCTCCTTCATCCTCCTTCTTTCCTCCACTTGTACACAACCCTGATACTATGTCATGGCTTCTCTCTTTTCTAAACGTCTGACCTGCTTCTACTGCGGGCGGCGCGCTACTCGACCGACCAGTGGTCCTGTTCGCAAGTTCCGCTGCGAACACTGCGAAGCCGACAACCATCTAGACGAGGTACGTTCGTTAAATTGCCGGTCTAGCAACCGCGGAATCCCTACTAACCTGTTTTCTCACGGTCGCAGAATGGAGAAATCACAGATCCCCCAGCCGCGGAGACAAATCCAGGAATCTACGGACCCGACGGTTCAAGCCCGCCCTTCGAAACAACCACCTTCACCGAATCCGATCTATTTTGCTCCAAATGCACGCGCAACCAGCATCTTTTCACCAGCCAACTAGCTTCCTATTTCCCTCCCGTGGACGATCCTCTCTACAAGGCCGCCGAGCGCGAGTATCCGCAGTTCCGCAGGAACCTGGAGGAACGATACCCTCAAGTGTGCGACAAATGTGAGCCTCGTGTGAGAGATCGTATACGTCGGACTGGATATGAGGCGAAAGCGGATCACCTCAGACGTATGATGGATCGGAGTAGAGCGAGTAAAGCCTCTCGACAGGCTAGGAACCGGAATTGGAGGAGTTTGCTGGTCATTACAGGCGCGCTCGGTTACTGGGGTAGCATTGCTACCCAGCTTGCGTGGGATTCAATGAGTGTTTTGGCTAGCGGTCAATTGTCGGATGGCGTGAACACACCTTCACTGGCGTCTTGTGTCAGTCAGACGGTAGGGATACGACGCATCCCTAGCAACTGCGCCTTCGATCTGGCGCCCTTGGCTGGCCTCGGACTTATTGCGGGTAGTCTTTCTCTTTGGTGGAATCCGAAGCTGCGCATGAAGGTCGAGGGGAGAGGCGGCAGGTTCGCTGGTCTTGGGGAGTACTACAAGGTCCAACTGATAGTCTTGGTCGTGAGGTGTGTGTTTTGGGCGGTGCTCAAGGATCCGTCTGCCAGTGGTCTGAAACCCACTTTGCCTCCAGCTTTACACTTGTTCATGGTCTTGTTCACATTTATGGTGAGTATCTCTCAGGCTCTTTTTTCTTGGGCCAGCGCTAATTGAATAGTCTGTGGTGATATCCCGCGGTCTGGTCAAGTACGACACTCGTCCCCTGGTGAATTGGTCGGATAAATCGTGGGAAAATACTCCAATTCGAAGCACAGAGACATCGCCCGTAACGGCCCCTCGCAGCAGACAAGTTCATTCGACCCCCACCGCAAATGGCGTGCGAAATAACCAGCGTTTTCCAATCGAGACACTGGCGTCTCCTCGGCCTGTTCCAGAGAGATCTCCGACAATTCCTCCCAGTCCTCCAGAGACGGACGACATGGATTGGACTCCCTCAGCCCCGCAAGATATTCGACCAACCGTGAGCGTCTACCAACGGGACCAGCCGTCTGTTTTCGATGGACCCCTCCCGTTTTACGGAACTCTTCCGTCGGCCCCAAAGCCTCCTGCGTGGAAACTTCAAGATCAAACTCCCAAAAAGCCCATCGCACAAGTTGTTGAACCCAATCCGTTTACCCGAATCCCTACCCAGCAAGCCAACCAGTGGCAACAAAGGTCGGGTCGCTCTGAACCTGTGTTCAGGCCTCCAACCTTTTTCCCAGATCAGGACACATCTACGGGACTGGAGACGTTGTTCGACAATGCATTCACAATACAATCACCCGATGACCCACCCAGGAGCAACTGGGCACAGCAGAATCAGGATCCAAGGTCTGCGTATCCTGAGAGGGCTCAAAAATTTCTCATCTTCCAATATCTTCGGCTTGGATTATTGGGGTTCTCTATTTTTGCGTGGATGTCGTCTCAGAACCGCCAGTTACCGATTCCTGGGAATTACATCGAGGTCGGAGCTTTGGGCAGCGCAAGTCTTATCGCAGGATTTGCTCTCCTGGAGCTTGTCAAAAGACCTCTAGCACACTGGAACGGCATGGAGATCTTGATCTATATCACAGAACTCGTTGCGGCTGTGCACCTAGGAGCGCATTTGCCAGGCGTCTCTTTTGACCGAGAATATTTTGATCGGTACGGCAAATTGCTTTTGGTATTCATGGCTGTGCAGGAGGCGCTTGGTCTTGTGGCATTCTATCGAGCGGCATCACCTCAAGGACAAGAAGACCGGGTACCTGCAGAGTCTTTTTTGTCCCAACAGGGATCGCCGCAACAAGAACCACATCGCAATGCTATTTCCTGGTCTCCAGTTGACTCAAGCCCTCCCGGACCCCAATCATTGAGCTCGGCACGCTCTGTTGCTCCCTCGCTCTCATTTTCGTCAGGGGCAGGAGGATCCAGCTTCTCCACCGCATTGCCTCCTGCGCCACAATACCGCCTTTCCTCGTCCCAGACCTTCCACTCATTTCCGACCAACGACAACAAGAACCCTCACAGTTTCACCATGAGCTCTTTGAAGGAAAGCGATCCTCCTTCGGACTATGATGTGGATTCAGATAGTGAGACCGTCGCTACGACCGCCACAACGCTCACTGATGCCACCACTCGTAACATCCGATATGGCCGCAACCCCAATCTTGACTATGGCTCTCCGTTCTCACCGAAGCGGAGCGAACTGGGTCCCGGTATAGGTGGCTTGAGTCTCGAAGATCGACCTTCTGCTCGTCGCATGACCCGCAGCCAGACGCAGCAAGGTCTCTCGGCGCGGCGGCCCCGTGCGGCCAGATAATTTAATACCATTGCGCCGTTGATTGATTTTGTTTGTTTAAACCCCGAGCCTCTATCTTCCTGATAGATTGCGCCGGTTGATCCCGTTTTCTTTTTTTGTCTCTTGCTTGGGTGTTTATTTGAGCGAACATATAGATTCATAGCGCTTCTTGGGGGGTTACATTTTACCTAATTTTGTTTACTACACATCGGTTTGTTTGCCAGCCCGAGAAGGTTTTCGGGAATGGCTGTACATAGGTTTTTTTTTTCTTTTCTCTGTCTATCTTACGATCGCGATGACATAACGATATGGGCAACAATGGGAAAGCATTCATGGATATCTGAAACTGTTATATAGTAAGACGAAAGGTCGATCATGCCGCATTGACACTATCAACTAAGCTTTCTACTTGTTTTTAAGTGCAAGGTTCCGAGTCAGCATTAAGATTGAATATTCAGCACGTATTCGCCTCAAAAGAATGAAGGCTGTTCAAAGTCTGCAGCGCTTGGATCATTCGTTCCTATTGACCTCGGGAGTCGCCTGCTCGACATGCTCGCCCGTCCTGGCTTTGTCTGCATCACCATGTGTTGAGGCTCGCTCGGGATCGGCTAGCTTTTGCTCCAACAGCTCTGTAACGCCGAAAAGGTCGTCCATTTTCTCAAGAGACATGCCTGTGTGATTGACCAGTCAACAAAGACACGTCCTGTTCAAGGGTGTGGGAAGCTCAAGATCGCTAAAGAGGACTTACCTTTCGTCTCAGGAATGAAGAACCAGACGAACACACCCATCGAGAAGCAGAAGCATGCGAAGATGATATAAGTCCTGGTCGCCATAGTCAGCAACCGTCACAGACCGTAAGAATCAAATAGAAAATCTTACCCATATCCATTACTTCCAACAGTAGCCAGCATATTGGGCACAGCCCTCGCAACCACAAAATTAAACAGCCACTGCGTAGCCGCACCAAACGCAACATTCAGCGACCGCAGCCTTGCACTCGGGATCTCAGAAACATAGATCCAGCAGACAGGACCCCAACCAAACTGGAAGAAAGCCGCAAACAGGAAAATACACACTAGGGCAACGTAGCCCGCAGGAATGACAGGTGCGCCCTTGACAGGCGGCGCGATGCGGATGTAGAGCCCGATGTAGAGCATTGCGAGGCCCTGTGCGACGGAGGTCCATAGGAGCGAGCGGCGACGGCCAAGGGAATCGGCAACGAAGATCAGGAACACGCCGCAGCTGACCATCTTTACGATGCCGTAGACACCTGTTGCGAAGAGGTTCGTTGCCCTACCTTCTACCCCGAGCTATATAGTTTAGTGTCGTTAGCAGTGCCCTCTTGGGCTTTATTGAGGTAGATACAACTCACATTCTCGAAGATTTGCGGTGCGTAGTAGTTGATAGCGTTGGTCCCAGTCATCTGCTGGCACACCATCAAGAAAATAGAAATAAGAGCTCGTTTCCGATTACCGGGAACGAGCCACATCTCCTTCATCAGATCCCAGAATCCGGAGCCGCCAACGAGAGCACGCTCATGTTCCAGCTGCGTAGCAATAGCCTGGAACTCCTGTTCGACGTAGGGGTGATCAGCAGGCAAAGCGCGCACTTTGGCGAGAGTCGCGCGGGCCTCTTCCCATCTATCCTGTTTCGCCAACCAGCGCGGCGACTCGTTGCACAGGAGCATGCCCACTAAAAGCAGAACAGCTGGCAAGCCCTGCATTGCCAATGGAACGATATACTGGGCTGGCCCGGAGATGTGGAGTACGGCACCATAGTTGATCCAGAATGCAATCATGATTCCGGCTGTGATGAATAGCTGATAGAGACCTGTTAATCCGCCGCGGATAGCGCGCGGAGCGTTTTCTGAGACGTAGAGGGGGTTGATCATTGAGGCGCCTCCGACTCCGAAGCCAGTGATGAGACTGAATTGGGTAGGATATGTTAGACGAAGAACCGAGAGCCACATGGATTGGTTTCTTTCAAGCATACCGTCCGATGTACATGCACGTGAGGTGGCCGCTCGCAGCAGTCTGCATGATAATTCCTATTATGGCCAGAATCGCAGACCCGATCAACGCACTCTTTCTTCCCCATTTGTCGGCTGAGGGGGCCGCGCCTAGAGCTCCGAAGAAACAGCCCGCCTGGAGGGTGGAGACGATGTTGGCGGATAGGTTCGCTTCTCCGACATCAGTGAGATCCAGCAGGCCGTATGTACTGTAAATAATAATGTGGTTAGATGATTTGGTTTTCTCGACGGAAGAGTGAGATTGCTGCGCACACTTCGAATGGGTGCATGGTTAGAACACCGCCGATGATACCGGAGTCCATCCCGAATAACATGCCTCCAAAACATGCCTAAGGAAATCATGTCAGTTTACTCGGTTTGACAGAAGAAATCAGAGTGCACGAACCGAGCAGGCAAGCATATAAACTCTCCATCCATAGATCTCCGTAGGGTCTTCTCGCATCGCATCGTTGCGGACGATTTTCTGTATAAGTGATGCCATTTTAAGGAGTGGCCAATCAAAGGAAAAGAGAAAGAGGTATTGTGATCGACGATAATCCTCTCAGATTTTGAGAGGAATCAGGGGAAGAGAGAAAGAAATGTCCCAAGTTGGCGGGGAAGCAGGGCGAAGCCGAGACAATCATATATGGGTTATTAAGTTGGGTATTAGAAAGAGGAACACGAGAGTTAGATTAATGCCCGCTATTGATTTATCAATGAAAGAGAGAGCCAGGCTACGACTACTACGACACTGGCTAGGCAAGGTATCATCAAGTCCGTGCTTTTGCTCAGTAGCCGATCAGACAACCATACAACCAACGAAAGGAGAAATGGAGCCAAAAAAATCCACGAATCCGAGACCGTGTTTGATTGCCAAGCTGCTGGGTAGCTTCACAAACCCAGCGGATTCAGAGATCGTCGTCCAAGGCTCGGCTCCATCTGGTTGCGACAGCACTAGGTCCCTGCACGGGAAGGAGGACAGAGCGGGGGCGTGGGGGGTAACAAAGGACGGGCAAGCCCGATGACCGTGTACTACAAGAGCTTTAACCAATCCCGCAGCGATTACATTAGCCGGAATTGTGTTGAGTGTCGATCTGTTTGTTATGTATGTACCCCATAGATAGCCTTTGCGGGGGAAGTCACTTGACCTAGGGCTCGAGATTGATGCCTGAGGAATCTACGGCAAAGTGCATAGTATTGAGATCAATCTTTCTTTGAGATATTTGAGGAATATCAATGTACTCTGCGGCCAGAGAATTTCATTGTCTCTTTATATACTGCGCAAAGGCCTGTCTCCGGCCATCTGGTGTCTAGCTCGTTACATTTTAGTATCTTTCGATATATCCCCACCTCAGAAGAATCGACAGAGCTGATAAAGACTCTGAAAGACCTTTCTTATTAGTGTATAATGTAATCTATTTTTACTAATGGAAAGTAAGCATTTTGTTGCTCCTTGTTGTCGATTCTTTTCCAACGTCCGATCCCGGGTAAATAGAGCCACTTCAGCCGCTGAGCCCCCACGGAATGGTTCAACAAGTCTAGAATGAACCACTACATTCGAAAATCGTCACTAGATTGCGGACTTGTGTCCGATACAGGCCCTACGTGTGCAATGATCTAATCCTCGTCAATCTACGCGTGGGGTGCTCGCTGCAGCCGGTCGGCCGAAATTGACCATTATTCTCGGCAGAAAGAGCGATCGGGGGAAAAGCCGAAAGCCGATGACGTTTCCTATTTAATCTGGGGATACCGTCATTAGGCTTTAACGGTCAGTCAAACCCGCCTACTGCAAGAACTCCCTTTCAAATCCTCGCCAATGTCCGTCCAGGCCAACGGCAAAACGCCTCCCCAGGCGTTCAGCGCATCACCATTTCAATCAAGATCTGATTTTCAGACCGCCTGCCGCGCCATTCTCGACCCACTCGTTCCTCATTTCACCCCGGGCGGCAGTCGCGTCAAGATAGGATCGTCCACCACTCGGTTCGACGAGGGCGGTGCGCAGATTGAGGGTTATGCGCGGCCACTTTGGGGTCTAGCATCCTTGCTGGCTGGTGGTTATGAATACCCTGAGGCTGCCCTCTGGAGAGAGGGTATTATTAATGGCACGGATCCAGAAAGCCCTGAGTTCTGGGGTGATATTGAGGATCTCGATCAGCGCATGGTCGAAATGTGTCCCATTGGGTTTACATTGGCCGTGGCACCCCATGTCTTCTGGGATCCTTTGACAGATAAGCAGAAAGGCAATGTGACAAAGTGGTTAAATAGCATCAATGCGCGCGAAATGCCTAATACCAACTGGTATGTTGTGGTCCAGTCTGATTGATCAACCAACATTGATGCTAACGTTGTGACTTGCATTGCAGGCTGTGGTTCCGCGTCTTCGCAAATCTTGGACTCCGACAAAATGGGGCTGAATACTCTTTATCGCGCATTGAGGCTGATATGGATCATTTGGACACTTTCCACGTTGGCGGCGGTTGGAGCAACGATGGCCCAAAAAGCCACCACCAAATGGACTATTACTCTGGATCCTTTGCCATTCAGTTCCTGCAACTACTTTATGCCAAGCTAGCGGGGGACTTTGACCCTGAGCGAGCTGAGAAATATCGCAGCCGGGCCAGGGAATTCGCTAAGGATTTTGTGCACTACTTCGACCCCGATGGTATGTCTTAGAGGGTTCCATAACTGGAATAAAGCTAATTGTTCAACCGTCGCAGGAAGTTCAATTCCTTTTGGACGATCAATGACCTATCGCTTTGCAATGGTCGGCTTCTGGGGTGCTCTGGGGTTCGCAGACGTTGATCTTCCAGCGCCTTTGACCTGGGGCGTTGTCAAGGGGATCCTGCTCCGTCATTTCCGGTGGTGGTCAACACAAGAGGACATCTTCAGCAACGACGGCACCTTGAACCTGGGGTACTCGTATGCCAACACATACCTGACGGAGAACTACAATTCTCCGGGATCTCCATACTGGTGCTGTCTCGCATTCATCCCTTTGGCACTGCCAGAAACACATCCTTTCTGGTCCGCTGCAGAGGAGCCATACCCAAGTGCTGCACTGCCCGAGATTGCAGTCCTTAAGTACCCCAAACACATTATCGTTCGTCAGGGTGGACACTCATTCCTACTGTCTTCCGGACAAGCGTGTCACTATCCGCTGAAAGCGACGCAAGCCAAATACGGAAAGTTTGCTTATAGTGCAGCCTTCGGGTATTCTGTGCCCACAGGCTCCTATATGCTAGAGCAGCACGCACCAGACAGTATGCTTGCACTGTCTGAAGATGGCGGCGAGATCTGGCAGACGCGAAGACTAGCGCTCGACGCCCGATTTGAGGAACCAGACCCTAATGGGCCAACTGTTCTGGTCTCGAGCTGGAAACCATGGCCAGATGTGGAAGTAGAGACAACCTTGATCCCTCTGACTGGGAAATGCGAGAACTGGCATCTACGTGCCCACCGTGTGCGTACCGGACGTAATCTGCAAACTTCGGAAGGTGCCTTTGCAATCTATGGGTGCCGCAGTGACAATGGGCGCATGCTAGGACCGATGATTGGAGAAGCTGATGAGGGGACGAAGGAAGATAATCGCAGTGCCCTGGTTGTCTCTTCGGCAGGTGCTGTTGGTATTGTCGAACTGCAGTCGACAGTTACCCGACAAGGGAAAAACGTGCTGGCAGACCCTAACTCGAACCTCATCCATGGCCGTACACTTTTGCCGTCATTACAAATGGATCTGGCTGCTGGTCAAGATTGCTGGTTCGTGTCCGCTGTGTGTGCTTTGCCATCCCGGCCTGACCAGAAGAACTGGCAATCAGTCTGGGAGAGCAAGCCCACGATTCCAGCATGGCTTGAGAAGAAAATGGCCCAAAATTAGAAAGCAGTGGATCATTTCCGATAGTTAGACTTAACAGTATTCAATGCCTCATTTGTTTCTTTGCAATTCAGGATGTTCTCAGAGACGTATCAACCTCTCTGCACTTTTAGACTGTCGGCCAGAATGCTGCATGGTAACTAGCATTATCCTTGGAGATGATCCTTTCTAGTCTAGATCTCGTATTCGACATGTGATGCCCCAGACTGCGTGCCTTCAAACTGACTCCCTTGCTCCCTGAACTTCACTTTGCAATCAGAGAAGATATGAGCCTGTATCCAAAGTTTATAATGAGGGCTAAGCTGCGAATTGAACTCACACCAAAGGTTCTGCTGCTACTGGCAGATTACCTGGACCTTCCAGACTGGATACCACGGGAATCACACCCTTGCATTTCTCAGTTGCTCAAGACCATCCGTTGTCAATTGCTCTTCTCTTGGATGCTGGTGCGCCAGTAGACGCGAAAAACGATTTTGGCCAGACCCCCTTACACCGGACAGCTAAAGGATACGAGCAGTCGCTATCTGTGCTACTTGAGTATGGAGCGGACATCCAGGCCGTGGCCGATAGTGGTTGGACATCACTTCATTGGGCTCTTAAAGAAAGCCACGACGACATAGTCAAGCGTCTACTGGCCTGTGGTGTACCCTTGCAGACCCGGAATATTCTTGGAGAAACAGCGTTGCACCTGGCAGCGACAGTTGATGACAAAAAGGTGGTAAAGCTGCTTCTTGACGCCAGTATTGATCAGTCAATAGCAGACAATCAAGGTGGTACGGCTTTGTATCCTACTGCCGCCATTGGCTATACATCAGTCATTAAACTTCTCCTGGATGCGGGAGCGGAATTATCATGCAGGGACATGGGCGGCCACACTGCCTTATATTGGGCGGCATTGTCTGGAGAGAGCAAAGCAGTTCAGCTAATCATCGACCATGGTGCTTCCATTGAAAATTTCACTGAGGAAGCTTTGTCTCAGGCCGCTGAGAATGGCGAGGAGGCCGCTGTGGAGGTGCTTCTCAACTTTGATGCCGATCCATCTTCGAAGGACTCGAATGGTTCTACAGCACTACATAGAGCGGCTGGCGCCGATCATCTAGAAGTTGGTGGATATACTATTGAGCTATGAGGCCGAAGTTTCTCTGAAAAATGCCGAAGAAAAGACATCCTTGCATATCGCTACTGTTAATGGATATGAAGAGATTGTCGAGGTGCTCCTCGAGGCTGGTGCAGGGATCGAGCAGCGCGACGCCGATGGAAAAACCGCTCTGGAATGGTCTATGGATAAAGAACATGAAATTATTGCACAAACCCTCCTGGCATATGGAGCGGACAATAATCCCCCCTGGGTTGCCCCGGTAGGTTGCCCAGGTGCCGTGTTGGTGGTCGGAGTCGATCATCTAACTATCACAAGCGTTGCGACGGTGACTGAGGCTGGGAACCAATAACCTTTGTTTACATGCATGGAAGTACATAATAAGAACACATAATTGGGCAAAAGATCATTTAAGTTGCTTAACCCTCGCGGGCTGAGACATAGTTAATTCCCGATGCAAGGAGTGGTTTCAAAACTACTCGTGTTGATCGAACAACAGAATCAAGGCGCTGTCCCAATATACTGTAGATCTGACTGAGCGATCACCAAACAATAATTTCTCGCAATATTTAATGGCTTCGTTACTCCCCAGTTGTGCTCACCAGAATCAAATCATTCCAAGACATCTTCTCCATTCTCTTCTCTCCTCTTCCTCTCTTCTTCCACTTCCTCAAACCATCCCATCCAACCTTCACAATGAAGTTCTCCTCAACTGCCGTCCTCTTCGCCACTCTGGCCAGCCAGATCTACGCCCACACCACCGGGCCCTGGGAGATCCGGCCTTACGACAGCGAGAGCCTGGTGCTGACCCTCGAGGCCGTGGAGGACCTCACCTTCCAGGCCATAGATGCGAGCATGAGCCAGCGCTGGCTCATCCTCGACAACCCCAATGGCCCTGGCTCTTGGGTGCAGAACCAGGAGACTTCCCGGTACATCAACTGCAACTTCGCCGATTTCCTTTGCCAGGAGTCCATCCACCCTCAGGTCTGGGAGGTGAACCGCTTTGATGAAGATGGCACCATTTCTTTTGTGGAGCCTTTCTCCCGCCGGACTATCCACCGCACCCATGAGGGCAACCGCCGTCTCCGACTCCTTCCTGCCAATGGTGGATACGACGATCGATACACTCTTGGCCAGTGTAAGTCTTCTGTTTGGGAACTCGTTTATGGAACGATTATACTGACTTTTATTTTTAAAGGGGACCTTTAGATGGGAGTGAAAAGAGGCGTGGAACCGACTTTTGCTTCCCCCTCCAGCTGGAAAGGGTTTCATGAGTATCGGCTGAGTGATGTCTACTTCATTGTTGCAATTCTTCTGTGATGCAAACGACCTCATCACTATTTTGTATTTTATAAAAAGCTCTTAAGCTTCTTAGACAGTTGTCTTATAATAATTCCTTTCATTATGACCAGTATCGCTTTTCTTCTATTGTAGACCGTCCCTGGCCACACTCCTGCTATCTGAATACAACGGGTTCAGACAGTACTACCTGCAGCCTTGGTTTATAATCGTATTGAGAGATCGTATCGACTCGCTCTTAAAGCTGTCCAAATACAGCTTATCTAGCAAACATCACAAACACTTATGAAACCAACAGCCTCATCAATCAACAGACCCCGCACTTAACAGGATGTATTTTGTATAGAACATTTCTCTACCAGATTATCAATCAAACAATGCCGAGGAAATTGTGCTGGCCATTCAAACGGAACAAGCCGAAAGATATAGCGAGTGTAAGTTCATGAAATATCTCTCCACCAAAGCCGTATCGATTTCATTGACGAAGGCGATCCCAACAGATAAACAGTGACATCGAAAACAACGGTCTCAAACAACTATATATAGGCTCAGACCCACAAATCGAGTACACATCGCACTTACTTCCCAGGAAACACGGGTCTTGCTAACAATAAACAATAGCATCGTCGCAGTCCACGGACTAAACGGCCACCGCGAGAAATCATGGACAGCATCCAACGGCATAAACTGGCTTCGAGATTTGCTGCCAGCTGATCTTCCTCATACCAGGATATATACCTGGGGTTACAATGCACCCCCTGGAACAACTTCTCTACAGGACATATCCGAGGAATTGGTCTCTGGTCTTTGGGGTATGAGACAGTCTACAGGAGTATGCAAATGAGTTAGGACCTAAGTTGTTTACTTTTGTTGCTGACAGATATGATCTCGACACACAATAATCCACTTATTTTCTTCGCACATAGTGTTGGGGGGTCGGTAGTCAAGAGTGTAAGTCTCGTTTTCTTTTCATTAGTTCCTTATTGATACAGCCATTCCAGGCTCTACTATACTCCGACTCGGCACGAGAAGAGACTTCAATCCACCACTTTCGGAGTATAAGCCTCTCAACGAAGGGGGTATTCTTCATGGGCACACCAGAGCTAGACTCCAGACTCGCGGGATTACAAAGTTTCGTCTCGACTTTCAAGGGATCGGACCAGGAGCAAAGCGATAGTTACAAGGAAGCAAGCTGGCTGGTTGATCTACTGGAGCGATTTTCTTCCTTCGGTGGGAAGTTTCGGACGGTTTTTGTTTATGAGAGGCCTGATAATGCCTCGTCAACACAAGTGAGAGAACCGCCGCCTTGTCCATATGCTTCTAACTAATATTGCCTCTTCTGAATAGAGTATTCCACCGCCGCCGCACAAGCTCGCTTCATGTATAGCAATTGATGCTGGTCATAATGACATGAACAAGTTTGGATCATCTTTTGATAGTGGGTATCTGAGGATCAAGGAATATCTACTTGAAATGACTGAAGGTGCCGATGAGGGCATTGCGTGAGGCTAGAAGAACCACGTTAATTAAAACCAGTTGAATCTAAACAATTTAATGGCATCTAATATTTTCGTAACTCCATTATATAGCATCCGAAAAGATACGAACCCGACGTCATGAGGCCGGGGCACCGTTGGGAGCACTAGCAGGTTTCGTGGGCACGGTGTTCGGCAGAGGCGGCAGGAGGTTCTTCGCACTCTCACGAGCGTACTGAGCCATCAGGGCATCCATAATAACCAGCGAAGACATGGCCTCGACAATAGGGACGGCGCGCGGAACAACGCAAGGGTCGTGACGGCCCTTAGCCTCGAGAATGCCCTCCTCCAAGCCGTACGTGGCAGTGGTCTGGGCCTGGCCGATAGTGGCTGGCGGCTTGAAGGCAACACGGAAGTAGATCGACGCGCCGTTGGAGATCCCACCCTGAATACCGCCGGAGTTGTTGGTCTTGGTGGTCAAGCGCTGAGGACCGGACTCTGCGGTAGCGGCAACAAAGGGGTCATTGTGAATCGAGCCCGGCACTTCGCAGCCGCCGAAGCCCGAGCCGATCTCGAAGCCCTTGGTGGCGGGGATGCTCAGCATGGCATGGGCCAACTTAGCCTCGAGCTTGTCGAAACACGGCTCGCCAAGTCCCACAGGCACATTGCGGATCACGCAGGTTACTGTGCCGCCAATGCTGTCATGGTTGTCCCGGAAGTGCTCAACGACCTTGGTCATCCGCGCGGCGGCTTCGGTGTTAGGGCAGCGGATCGGCGCGAAGGAGTCCACCGTCGGCCGGTCAATCTGTTCGAGCAGCTGCAGGAACTCGGGATTGGTCGAGGCGGAGGGGTGCTCGGGAGTCGGAGGGAAAAGGTGCTCATTGCCCACGGAGGAGACGAAGGAGACAATCTCGACGTTATGCGACAGACGCAGGTACTTCTCGGCGATGGCACCAGCGGCGACACGACCTGACTTTTAATTAGTGCACGCAATCTTCAGCTGAGGGGCCTGCCTTACCAATGGTTTCCCGGGCACTGCTGCGGCCACCACCGCTGCTCGCCTTGACGCCGTACTTCTCCAGGTAGGTGAAGTCCGCATGGCTAGGGCGGGGGTACAGGTCCATTGTGCTGTTACCGTAATCCTTGGGCCGCTGGTCCTCGTTGCGGACCATCATGCCAATTGGCGTGCCCAGAGTGATCCCAAACTCCGTGCCCGACTGGATCTCTACGCGGTCCTTCTCGTTTCGCGGGGTGGTCAAGGCGCTCTGACCGGGACGGCGGCGAGTCATCTGGGGCTGGATGTCGTCCTCGGTGAGCTCCATGCCCGGCGGGCATCCGTCGACAATGCAGCCGACCGAGCGGCAGTGGGACTCGCCATAGCTATAGCACGAAGAGCGTCAGCACATGCGGCGATGGATCGGGTCAAAGGCATCTTACGTGGTCACCCGGAAATGGTCACCCCACGACGACATGTTGAGTGATGGTGGTTGCAGATACCAAAGGGCAAGTATCTCAATGGACGGCCGAGAAAGAAACCCAACGGGATTGTCGGAGTGGTAGGGAGGACAAGAGGATGTGTTATCAGTAAGAGAAAAAAGTTCCCACGTTCGACTCATCCCACCCTTCCTATCTGGGCCTAGCGCATCCGACCATCGGCCGCGACTTTCTTTGGTCTTGGTGCTCCTTGTGTCAGTAATGCTGCTGCAACTGCGAGGATGGTCTTCCTCTCGCACACTATGCGATAAAACCACAAAGATCTGCTGGCCCCGCCACAACTCCTCATACCCTCTCAGCCGCTTCGCGGAGCTCGCTAGCCGCCCGTCCTCGCGGCACCAGATCTACCAATCCGTCTCGACGGACCCGTACGTCAACCTCTCGATCGAGCATTTCCTCCTTGAAAATGCGCCAGAGGACTCAAGCATCCTATTTCTCTACACCAATCGGCCATGCGTGGTGATCGGGCGGAACCAGAACCCATGGCTGGAGACAGATCTGCGCGCGCTGCACAATGATCGCCAGAATGGTACGACCAGAGAGGATGACGAGAGCGCGGTCTACGTCCGGCGGCGGTCTGGCGGTGGAGCGGTCTTCCACGACGAAGGGAATCTCAATTACAGCGTCATCTCGCCGCGCACCGCGTTCACGCGCAACAAGCACGCCGAGATGGTGGTTCACGCGCTGCACCGCCTCGGGGCGACAAATACCAGCGTCAATGAGCGACACGATATCGTGATGACCCCTGACGACGCAGCCAAAGACCCTCGCGAGCCCCCATCACGCAAGGTCTCCGGGTCGGCGTTCAAGCTTACCCGGCACCGGGCCCTGCATCATGGCACATGTCTGCTGGATTCACCCAATATTCATGATCTCGGCCGCTTCTTGCGATCCCCGGCGCGCGGATACATCCAAGCCAAGGGCGTGGAAAGTGTACGCTCGCCCGTAGGGAATGTGTCCTCTGCATTCGCCGACTCTTTCTTCTCCATCCCCGCCGTGATTGAAAGCGTGGTGGAGGAGTTTGCGCGGCTATATGGTGTCCATTCAGACGCTGTCCTCCGGGCGCGCCGGGCGCATGCCAATGAACCCGAGATCTACGCTGGAGATAGCTGGGTCGCCGGCACGGTTGGAGACGTACAGGGCGAGCAGGTGCCTGAGATTGGGAGAGGCATTGCTGAGCTACGGGTGAGTTTTGTTTTTCGTCCTTCTTCGAAACAGAGCAATCGCTAACCTATCTCCTGCAGTCCTTGGAGTGGAAGTACACACAGACTCCCCAATTCACCTTCTCAACCTATCCCACCGACGAAGACCCTCGCGAGCGACCACCTCTTCCACCCACCCTTCCATCTTCCGTAAGTTTTGCCTCTTTCATTGGTGCATTGTTTTCAAGATTCTAACATCACCACAGACGCGCGTATTTCTGCGCCTTAAGCACGGCGCTATAATTGAAAGCTGCATATCTGTTTCCTCGGACCCATCAGTAGCGACTGACCAGGCTTCTCGCGTGCACGAGTCTCTCAATGGACAGCGTCTACATGAGATTAGGCTGTCACAGTGGACAGAGATTCTGCGACAGGGTCTGGGCGGAACACGAGATGTAGACGATGGCGTTATCCGAGAACTCGCGCGGTTCTTGGGTGGGTTGCTTGGAGGATAGGTTGATGGACCTGTGGTTTTGTATAAAGATCGGTGTGTACGATAATCCGTTGTGTATAGAGAGTCCGAATTAAGACGCAGCACTTCTACACTGGATTCACAACACTCGCCTCGAACTGATAAGCTCGCACTATCTTATCATAGATAAGGACTTCCGCGGCTCTTGGGCCTCACCCATACAAAAGGCGCCCCATAGTTAAGGTCCCGGCGCCCTCTAACCTGGCTCATAGCCATAGGCAACCACAGAGACCCCGCTGTACAAACAAGGAAAATGCACCTAATCAG